CAATGATGTCTGGAGGTTATGTAAACATTCCATATTTGATGTATATATTCTGGGATGTAAACAGATTATATATTATGTGTTAGTGACAATGATGTCTTGAGGTTATTTGAATAAACTTTATTTGATGTGTTATAGACAAGAACGTCTGGAAGTTATGTAAACAGACTATATTTGATGTGTTATGCACAAGGATACTCAATATTTATAGCTCTAATGCTTATTCAATACATTAATGTTACATAGGTAACTCGCTCCTTTTCTTTATGTAGATAATAAAATTTTTGCTGAAGTCGGTGATTTATGTGTAGAATATATAGGTTTCATTTTAAGTATAGAATATTCTTTTCTATTTTTTCCCTAGATTGTAATACATACGATATTGGATTAGTTTAATATTCCTAGACTAGTATATTAGATATTTTATCATTTTACTCAAGAAATCTGTGTCTGTAGTTGTGTATTTTGACATATATCTTCATATACTGTATATTTTTACCAATGATTGTCTTGCTTTTTGACGAGGATTGTATGTAATTTATAGATCCTATATATTCCAATAAACTTGATGTCAAGGATTTGTATTCTTATTCATTACTTTCAATCTTGTGTTATACCAATACTAAACATACGACTAATGTAGATTTATCCGTTGTGGTATATGCTCATTCCCAGCTCGCAGATGTTTTCCCATCTTCTAATAGAATCGGTCAAAGTCCCTCGGCTTTGATCACCCAACCAGTCGGCATTTTAGCTCAATCTGAAAAGTATTCGATACTTTCTGATTTTAATACAACATACAAACGTCACTCTATAAAGAAAACGCTATGTAATAAACTGAATACAGGGTAAAATTTCATCTAATTTGATGGTATAGCAAGGATTTATTTAATGACTTTACAAAGTAAAGTATAATAGATATAATAAAGTATAATAATAATACCAGGTTCTTATATACCTAGTTAAAAGCAAAGGCAGGTTTACAGTCATTTCCATGGTATCGGGTCATTTGCCGGAGGGAGCATACACTGTGAGCTGGATCTTTTGGTTATTGAGAAACGGTTGAGATATTTTAACACATTTGACCCTTGTAACTTTGAATCTGAGTCATGTCTTTCATTGGAACAATTTTTTTATTTAGAAATCTAGAATATGTTCGTATGATTGATCTCCGTAACCTTGAAAATGGGCAAGTTCATTTACTTGAACAAACTCTTCCCCTCAACCTACTGCGAAACAATATCAATAGCCTTGACATATTTGATGTCGTGAAATTGTTTGAAGATTTTAATACATTTGACCCATGACACTTGAAATTGAGTCAATGTCATTTATTGGATCAAATTTGATGTTTTTGAGAAGGAAGTCTTATACAAAATTGGTACAATTATAATCCGAACCGTGCAATACAATATAAAGTGCCAAACGTCAAAATATTCAAATAATGTAATAATTATTACAATAAGCGTTGCAACGGCTACGCTAAATATAATAGTTATCTTTATTACATTAAGCGGGCCAAATGTTACGTTTAATGTAATAATGATTTTTTTTATTACATAAACGCCGAAATTGTACTATTGACAAATTTAAGAAGGTCCTTAGTGTAATAAAGTCCGAAATGAAGGGGGCATATTGAGTCTTCTGTTTTGTATTGTTATGTCATTTTGGGTATTATTAGGGCCCCACATCGAGATGCGAAAGCCCTATAGGAATCACCCTGTCAGTCTGTTCATCCGGATAGCCGAATGTACGGACGTCAGCACTTTTGTTTTCCAATGATAGCTTCAGTTATGATTAGATTAATGATTAGAATGCCATCAAACCTTGCATGTGGCTAAATTGTCAGTTACCTCACTTTTGTGTCATATCAAAGACGTTTAAAATGTAATTGTAATGCAACAAATATCACATTTGTGGTAGCAGTTAGCAATACATGTCCTGCCGTTAATATAATAATTTTCTACTGACTCGAAATTGATACTACACGAATCTGTCATTAACCGTTATCCAACTTGTTCAAATAGTCCAAAACTAAGGAGTATCTCAAAGCTCTTGTTCGGCTCAATTTTCAGGTCTATTTCTTCTAATGCTTACATGTTAACTGTTCACTCTTTGGCTTTCCAAATATTTGATCTCGAGCAATGCTGACGAGGAATTGTTTTTTGAAGTGTATACATACACTGCACCAAAATTAATACTGGCTTCATCGATGTTTATTATTACAAGTGGAAAGGGTAGTAATGCAGTCCCTACCGTTAATGTAATAATTATTACAATAGCAGTAGGGGAAGCAATGCAGTCCCTACCGTTACTGTAATAATTATTACATTAGCAGTTGGGACTGCATTGTTTCTCCTACCACTAATGTAATAATTGGCAATCGTGGAGTTCGATTCTCGGCCGGATCGTAATACCTAAACCTATGCAACGTACGTCATATGCTATGCTTACAATTTGTCATTTCTCGGTCAATCTCGCATAAATATTTCCAATTTACTCTCTTCATTTCTTTCCTAGCATGTTCAAGGTAAAGTTAAATATATCTTGCCAGATCTTGACGCGGAGAATTAATTGGTTGATTGTCCGATCAACACATTGCAGGTCATTTACGGATATGCCAGTTTAAGTTGCATAGGAAGACCCTGGAATATCAGCATAAATCACCGACCTCCAGCAAGTAACTGCCAAATTTCGACCAAAAGGAAAGGAAATCCTTAAAAATTTTTATCTTCTCCGAACGGGATTCAAACTCAAAACCTAGGAGGTGATAGTCTACAACGATCATGGGGCGCAACGACCTAGACAGTTCGGCCACCAACACCCCGGCCCCTCCAAACCTTGACGGGAACATACACCATTATATTATAGTATTGCTATATTGTCTTGTAATCGACACGCAGTGTACTTCCGTAACAGTATAAAAATGGTTACATTAGCGGTATTTTAAATACAATCACAACGCTTACAGTAATAATTTATTTTGTATTACTCTATTGCAACTCTTAATGTAATAAAGATAAGTTTATTACATTAAGCGTAACGGTCGCAACGTTTAATGTAACAATTATTACATTAGCGCCGTTATTACATTTAGAGTTGCGTCATCAATCCTGGCTGGACCAGGCAGCTCAAGTCAGCTAAAATCAGACCAAATCAGATCACATCGATTATGAATGGACCTGGGCAGCTAAAATAAGTCAAATTCAGACCAGATCAGTCTGACTGAATCGGAGCGGCTCAACTGAGGCGAAATTATATTGGACTTTGGTTCGATTCAAATATTTTATATTTATTGGCTGAAACAATATACATAGAGTATACACAATTTCTAGAAAGCAACATTTGTTAATGGGTTGAATAAAGGTTCCATGCATTAACAAGAAGCAATACATATCTAGCAATAGATTGAGTGTATGCTGTGTAACAAATATACGAAAATTAAAAAACGCTCAAATCCTTTAATACCAAAAAAGTTTTGGTGGGAAAATATACCATTTCGACTATGTGCGTATGAAAATTTCATTTTTCCCATTCTCATAGATGATGTATCATTATTATTGCATATCACTAGGAATTTGAACCTACAGGTAATCAGGGAGTGAAGAATGAGATTTCAGAAAAAAAAACAAGTGATCATACAGAAGAGGTGTGGATGGTGCAATATCAGAGAAAAAAGTCATTCTACAGAAGAGGAGTGAGTGGTGAGATTTTGGAGAGACAAGTGATCATATAAAAGAGGAGCAGTAGTGATGAGAATTCAGAGACAAAACATCTTATTCAAAAGTTGAATTATCAAGCTGAAGGTGAGAGCCCATGTTATATAACTTTTTATGCGAAGATAGCCTTTACGAATGCTGTTCTAAATTCATATTCTAAACATCAGTTATGTGTATCGATTATACCAACATACTACACGTGATCAATGTCAAACGTTAGTGCTTATATTTAATATTAAATACTTAGATGACCAGAGTACTTGTCAGTGTTTTAATGAAGTAAAAATGTTTATTTTGGCACTAATAATATCCTAGCACTTTTCCCAGCACCAAATATGAAAAATTTAATTACAGTAGAGCTTAATACGAAATACTATAAAAGTTTTCATTTTCCAGCAGTTCTTCTTTACATTTATACTTATTTTGTTCATTTCCAACATTTTAAAGTTACAAGTTTAATTACAAATAGTAAAATTGGATGATAAAACTATAAAGAAACTTCATCATCAATTCTCCTATCCACTTAGTTTCGCGAAACATAGAATTGTTACATAGAATACTATTTACAGTTTCTGAAAGATAAAGTCTTCATGTTACGTATTAGGTAAACCGTAAGAATGTCAACCATCAATAATAACAACCTATCTAGTATTGGTAAGTTACGGAGGGGTGTATCTTTGTAAGTTGCAGATAGGTATATCTTTGTAAGTTACAAAAAAGTATATTTTTTAATATAAAACATAAACAGATATATAATTCAGATCTAGCACTAAATAGATAAACATTTTGATAATATGTATCTACATTTCACAAGTACAGTATAAATTTAGGATAAACAATGATAGTTTTTTTTTATTTCACAGGTAGCTGCAGGGTTTTAATAGAGATTAAGAATTTTACAGTTTACTGTGAAAACCAAAGCATATTTCATGAATTCCATGAAAAATGTATTAGTTTTACCTGAATTGTGATGTAAACCCGGGAACATTTGAACAACCTTTACAAAACAAACTCAATAAGTTCAGCGCAAAAATAGTATCATTATGTGTTGAACATAGAAATTTAGTTCACAAGACCCTTTTAACTCGGTTGTATCGTATTGTGTTGAACATTAAAAAACAGTTCACGAGGCCCATTTTACTCAGTAGTATCGTAATGTTTTCAACATAGAAAATAATTCACAAGGCTAATTTAACTCAGTATAAAACTAATACACACATAATTTTAGACATGAAGTTGCATACACATTATACCAGATTAAGAACGTCCAATAACATTATCAGAAACACATTGAAATGTTTTATCATTCATCAGTATCGGGAGGAGGACGGGGAGGAGCGATATCTTCATTCATGGCATCAAAATATGACGGTGGCTGTTCAGGAGGAGCAGTTTTGATGGCGTCATCATATGATGGCGGAGATAAAGAAAAATCGGTAATTGAAGGATTTGGCTCTTCAGTATTGTGATCGACATTGCTTGACTGCCGTCCGACTCTTATAAAATTTTCTATCGTCGCTATTACCAATGTCCGACCTGAAAAAACAGAAAACAAAAGTATTTTTATCCCATTTCACTATTGAACATTTTTCAGAATGAGGTGAGTGATATACTCCATTATATTTATTATAGTACATATGTATATAGCTATGCATCATTATGATAGATGTTTATATCTGTCTATCATTATGCTACAAATGTAGATAGCAATCTATCATTATCATACAAATGTATATATCTGTCTATCATTATAGAGAAACTTCAAGACGAAGGAGCCAACGTCAGGTATATATAGGTGGGTTCATTCCATTGGTACTTCGCTATGAGTATGGATACCTAATGGTATGCAGGGCGATTAAACAAAAACTAGAAGTTAGGACGGGATAATTAATCGCAACCTACTCAAGCGTGACCAGTTTAGAGGTTGATTTATTGTTGACTAGTTCCGCCTCCCTCGCGGAGACTTCATCAGTCTATCATTATAATACAAATGTATATATCTATCTATCATCATGATACAGATGTATATATCTATCTATCATTATTATACAGATGTATATATCTATCTATCATTATGATACAGATGTATATATCTATCTATCATTATAATACAAATGTATATAGCTATCTATCATTATGATATATATAGCTATCTATCATTATGATACAGATGTATATATCTATCTATCATTATTATACAGATGTATATAGCTATCTATCATTATGATACAGATGTATATATATATATCTATCATTATGATACAGATGTATATAACTATCTATCATTATAGTACAAATGTATATAGCTATCTATCATTATGATACAGATGTATATATCTATCTATCATTATGATACAGATGTATATAACTATCTATCATTATAATACAAATGTATATAGCTATCTATCATTATGATACAGATGTATATATCTATCTATCATTATTATACAGATGTATACAGCTATCTGTCATCATGATACAGATGTATACAGCAAGCTATAATTATGATACAGATGTATATAGCTATCTATCATTATGATACAGATGTATATCGCTATCTATCATTATGATACAGATGTATGTAGCTATCTATTATTATGATACAAATGTATATCGCTATCTATCATCATGATACAGATGTATATAGCTAGCTATAATTAGGGAGACTGGGTATGACAATACGTTCTAGATAACCATTTACTTTATACTCAATGTTTTCCGTATTTCAATATTGATATCTTATATTACATTGATATCAATTTAGTTTTTTTTTTATTACTTTTGGCTTTACAGTTCATCAGTCAACAAAATCATGATACAAACAATTTACAGCATGGATTATCAAAATGAGAATGAGATTTTAATGATCCACATAATACACTTTATTCTCCATGGTTTTCATGAATACATTTACCCAGAGTACACAATTCCTTACAACTTTTACGCTAAATTATTTAATCAATTTAAAATCAGACTGACTTTCCCGATAGTAATCGTACTTTTTCATTATATTTCTAGAACATCTATGTCTAATGTGGCATCATCAAAAAAATGTTTTTGAATATGACATTTAGTAAAAACAAAAATACCGTGCTTAGAATTAACTACAACGTTGGCATCATTTCTACACGTTTACAGAACAGGTTGCAGCCGTCCAAGAACACAAACACTCAACACATACACTCACCTAACATACACACGGATGCTGTCGGTAAATTGTCATACTTGTTTATAGGTCGTTAAACGATATCAAAGCAAATGAAACATTAAAACTAAATAAGTGTTGTTGTTGCTGAATAGACAAGATAAATAACTTATTTTTAACTAATGAATTGTACTGATGTGACATTCGTAGCAGTCATATATGTAACAGCATAACAAGTATTTCCAAACTGTTTTGTTCACTATGCACACAAAGGTATGTTTGTTTTGTCTGCAAAGTTCTGTCATTCATACTAGTTATAAATGCCTTGTTAAACTAGTAAACGGCCATATCATTGCAACCTGTTTAAGTTAACTATCATTTGACTATTTGGCAAAGACATTTACCTAATTCGCAAATCAGTTAAACAATATCAAACCATTAATAAACTAAGTAGAACTGAGACAACAAACCGGTAGCTTCTGGATACTACGTAGTGACACCATTCCACAATGAAGTATATTTAACTACATGACATATGGTGTCACGTGGTCACTTGCGATGTGACCTCTATTGTACCCAATACCTTAGAATGTCACTTAATTTTGGTTTGCAAGGTATGCATAGTATATACGGAAGATTGAACAGCGGTGAAGTGTTTGAAGAGGAATTGATCTGTTTCGTGGGATATACATACTGAGATCGGTTGAAATTCTCTGTGAGTTAGGTCGGCTGAACGGCCGGCCACTTGAAGGTGTCGTCGATGGTCGTCGACTCTTCAAACGTGCTACTCTGCCCACACAGCACACGATCAGTAAAAACAAGATAAAGACGGTGAGTGCGTAGAAGAATATACTGAACGGCGGTCTGAAATGAAATCACACAAGAAAATTCGTAGTAAAAACATCGAAGAATGTTTTTTAATCCCCAAGGAAGTTAGGTATTAAGGTACCTTGTGTTACGCCTGCAAGTGACCCAACCATATGATTCAACAGAGAAGATAATAAATGATAATGAAATTATGTGGGGTCAGTTTTATATAAAAATGACATTCTGAACAGAAGTATACTTTTTATAGTCCAATAGTCATCAACAATAACTAATCATAGTGAAGTGGGCGCCAAAAATAAGGTTTTGCGCTTAACACAGATTTGAAATGCATGGTAAAAATGACATTCTAAACATAAGAACATATACTTTATATAGTCCAATAGTCCTCAACGGTTACTTTTTATAGCGGCGTGGGCGTCAAAGATAATTCAAAACACATCATGCCCTCAGTATCACTATAAAGTTTTCACGAAGGTTACAGCGAAGTATATGTGTATGTTGTCTGTTGTCAAACCAAGGATGGTCGAGATGAATTATACAGTAACAGTGTTTATGACACACCTACCAAAGACCTGACACACATTCCGACTTCAATTGTGTATGAATTCACACATTAAAGTATTTATTGTATTTGAGATTAATGGTAAGTATCTAAGAGGGTTTTTTTCTTTATTCCGCCGAGCCTTTGGCGAGGCAAAATGAATCACTAATGGACAGTTCAAAAAATCTCATATGAAATTGATGCGATTGTTAGATTCTGTTTATCACATAACTAAGATGACGTTATTCGTCTGATACGAAATCTAAATTGGTGATATTCTCAACCTGTGCCCCTTTATTTTGTGATGAAAACATACATGATACCATGAAGTTATAAGTCACTTAGGAAACAAATGGAAACTAGCACAAGATTATTTCACCACACAATTCTAAGTCCGGGGTTCCATGTTTTACTTACATGGAGGGTGAGTCGTCATCTTCCGACACACAGCACGGCATCGTGAAGTTGGTACCACAGCATCCATACCTACAATACACCTTCATATCTGTTCCATCAAGTTTACCACAATACATTGAGATGTATGCTGAGGCATATCTACACATCGTTAAGCCTGTAAAAAAGAAGAATTGATCACTTTTAACAACCTTATCAGCAATTTCCAGGTTAATCAATTTATTTTTGAAAATGTTTGTGTCAAAGTTGATTCTAGTTTGTTTTCACAGATTTAAACAGATTTTCTGCCATTATTTATATACCTCACATGACAACTGTTGTGTATATGTACTAATGGGTTGAGGGAAGGAAGGTAACTCAAATTGATTGGTATGAAATTACTGTTTGGTTCAAGTTGGAACTCTTCAGAGGGAGGAGGAAAGAAAAAGAAAGTGATGAATAATAAAAATTTTGGAAAGGAGACCACGCGTCGTTTGCAATTTTCCTCTCAACGTTCAAGGTAGCGCTAAACACAACCGGCAACCATTTTCTGTTAGAATCTTATCTAACAATAATGCAGGATTCACCAAACAACTTCTAATACATCACCCTCGTATCATTCCGATTATGAACGCGTCGTTTGCAATCCTACATGAATGTCTTTTGCACATTATGTATTGCCAAATCTAGAACAAGAATTAGGCGCAAGCAATTTGAGCTCAGCATTGAGATACGAGTGCCCTCTAATAATCAGCATGCCGTTCAATCCACTGTCCGTGTGTCCGTTTCTTGCTTTCCGCACAATAACTTATGTATTTGTTGTAGGATTCTCACCGGGTTAATATTTATGTAAACTCCGCATGGGTTTGGTACCCAGTGAAATCCGTCAATATTTGCAAGAGTTGTGGGACTTTGAATGCTGAAAATTGAACATTTTATTACTTTTTGCACTACTTGCGTATCTGTAGTCGGATATTCTCCAAATTTCGTATGCAAATTCATATCAGTTAGATATGCCATGTTTATATCCGACTTTTCACCAAGTTTTTATGTTGTCTCTGATACACGACACCTTGTGTAGGTTCGATAACCAGTGATATCCGTCAATGATTTGCGAACTTGAAGGACTTTGAACGTTGAAAAAATTGCAATTTTATGTCATTTCACACATTAACGTCCGTTGGAGCTATAGCGTATTCTAACAACTCTGTGGTTGGATTGGAACGTCACACGATAAATTAATGTATTGAAAAATTCCGCATATATTTCAATAGGCTGCTGCTGATGTATTCTGTTTTTTTTCAATATTGTTATTATTATTTCAAAAACAACATTCAAGCATAAGCGAAACCTTCTGTGTCGAACCTGATAGACGGGGTCCTTCCTCGGTATTGGTCTAGTTTCATCTCAAATACACCTTATCTATACATACACATGTACGTGTCATAAATATATATATATATAATCAATTGTAATAGCAACAGTACGGACAAGCGAATTGTCAAATTTTCGAGGCATCCTGCCCCTTTTTCAATACACAAATATTACATAAATTACATCATATACATAGAACATAAAACAAATGCTAAATTATAAGTCTAAATCGAGATCCGTTATATAAATTTAGGTGTCTCGATCATTCCTTCGGCCGATGAACGCCGATGGCCCTTTATAGCGGACAAAAAACATCCCGAGTTGTTGTATGTAAGATGGTGATTGTCTAACGGGCCGATTCGACACACACGTTAATGAGAAAACGTGTAAAAAATAGCGCACAACACATAGAACTAGTTTATTACGTTAGAAGACAGGAGAGTTATTTTAACAGGGGCGATAACAACATATGACAAGACCACCAAGGTCACACGACACTGTTATTAAATCAATTAATTAGAATAACTATCAACAGTGATTAAGATATCAAAAATGTTTTACATAAATCTAGGTATGTTTTGCACTCTAGATACATAATATATATGTGATCGCAAACAACTGCACGTCACACTCCGAGGACATTTAGTCTACCGGTACATCTCGGACACGTTCTAAATGAGGAATTGTTTGAATAAAAATAAGAAAATTCATTGTAAACAATGTGAACTGTATGTGTAGTTACAATAAAAAGTAATTTTATAAAAAAAAACACAAGCTAAATGCAGAAAAGTATATCTATATAAAAAAAATATCATTTTGAATATGGCCAAATAGTCCCTAAACTCGTCAACTCGCCCAACGAAAAGTCGTTCCATAAAACTTAAAAAATCTGCTTCCGGACTAGAGTTGATAAATGGCGCCAATCTCAAAAAGTAAGGAAAGCTGATGTAGTAAAGAAATTAAAAGTGCAATAAGTTAGAGCAAGTAAGTTTATTCGAAAAAAAAATATATTTTTTTTTCGAAAGGGGGCGGATAGGTGGGTGATATTATACTAGTATTTAAAAGGTAGTCATACATGTCACATTGTAATTTTAGTATTGTAAGATACGATCGGTTTACATATAAAGCAACACATCGTGACAATATCTGAAAGTGAAAATGGATGACTTGTCTACCAGAATCAACCGTGCGAATTACGTCCATGTGCTTACATACCACATTTACATATCATGTGTATCGAGCAAGGCTTTTAATCAGTTTCATCGGAGTTCCAGAAATTTTGAATTATTCGTTTACAACAGGACGATGAGGCATGTCGTCGTTTTGTATATCAATTCAAAACACATCATGTCCGTATAAGGGCCAAGACGTTTCCGTTTTGTGTGGGGTTTTTTTTCTGGTAATTACAAAGACGCAATGATGTTCGTTAATTTCACCACAACGCACAAAAGTTAAAAAAAAAAAAAAAAAACCAAGCCAAAGCGGATGTGTTCAAGTCTAATGATATACCATATTTATAGACAGTTCTCCACTACGCTCCCTGAGTGAATAAAAACGTGATAGAATCTCATGCACGTGGAATTATGTCTATATAAAAATATGTATCTATAGTTTATATTCACCAGTTTAAACGGGATACGGAGTCGAGAGAAATAAGGTTTCTGTTGATATATACGGACTTAAAACCCATTCTAAAACCGTGGTTAACACATTTTATTAACTTAAACATAATATGTACTTGTCCCTAACCATTTGATTTCGAAAAGCAGACCTTAAGAGAAATATTGATTATGTGTTATCCATGGATTTCTATTCGATGTCTGTGAGCTATCTCTGTAAACTTCGATCTAAGCTAAGGTTTGTAATAAAAAAAGGAAAAGCGGTTTAAATTAACGTGACCCCGGAGATGGTAAAACCATCACATAAAGAGATGAACGATTACACTGTACATTTAAACAAGTATGGCACTTAAAATGCATGCTATGCACAAACTGGATGCGGAGTCTACATCCAACCAAAACCATACCTGGTCAACTCACTTACACCCCTTCCCTAACAAAGGGAAATTTACTATCACCCCTTCCTCACCCCAGGTCAATCTACAAACACCTCCTCCTTTCACCCCAGGTCAATCTACGAATACACCCTCCCCTCACCTCAGGTCAACCAACAAACATACCCTCCCCTCGCCCCAGGTCAATCTATTAACACCTCCTCCCGTAACCCCAGGTCAATCTGTTAATACCCCCTTCCTCACCCCAGGTCAATCTACAATCACTTTCTCCCCTCACCCTAGGTCTATCTACAAACACACCCTCCTCTCACCTCAGGTCAATCTACAAACACACCCTCCCTCCTTCCCAGGTCAATCTACAAACACACCCTTTCTCCACCCCAGGTCAATCTACAAACACACCCTCCCCTCACCCAAGGACAGTCTATAAACAACATCTCCCCTTACCAAGTCAATCTACAAACACACCCTCCCCTCACCCCATGTCAATCTATTAACACCCCCTTCTCTAATCCCATGTCGTTGTGTAATATTTTCCGTGTACATTAATAGTATATCAGTATATTTACACCTGTGTGAACATGTATAGATTAACCTACCTATGAATAGCAATTGCACGCTTGCCTTCTCCATTGCGGACTCGTCCAGTCTGTTGTTTACTATCACTCACTTAAGCCAGTACATCGTATACCTGCCATTTTGTCTTACCAAATGCTAACTACTTCCTTATTGAGTTGAACTGCGTATTATTAAATAACCCGTTCTATTTTACGGGTACAGAGGTACTTGTTTTGTCACGCTCGACTTCCCCTCGTGCATGGATACGTGTTCTTAAGTCGTAGCCGAAACTTGTTTACCATATCTATAATATACATAAACAATGTATATCTTAAGATAAAAACAATATATATTTATCGACATATGCCCTGTTATGTACACCTGACGGTAAAGTAAACATTGCAGATACAAAATCGTGTTTTCGTGAAATAATGTAGGTTATTTATAGCTATCCTTAGGTAAATGTCACACTGGGGTCACCCACAGGGGACAAACTCAATGAAAATGTCTATTATTTTTTTTTTCAGCTGAACAGTTTCCCAACCTCGCACAGACGACGTGTTTTTTCTCATTATGCATCACCTCCTCGATTTTTTAAAACTAATTCAAATTAGTTTTTTTTAAAAGAACAGACCGCTTGACAAAGCAAATATCAAATTGAATATTTCTTCGGTTCAAGCAAGTATATTGGATATGGTGAGGCTACTTGCCTCCAGAAAACAAAATCAAAATGTCTGCATCAGATATACATAATATGTCCGTCCAAAAGTCGATCCACACAAGACCAGAGAGATGTTCTCCACACCATACATCGGTTCACAAAATGTCCACACGAGACATACGTACATACAGATATCTGTCCGTTAAAATGTCCACATCAGACATCTGTCCGTCAAAATGTCCACATCAGACACCTGTCCTTCAAAATGTCCACATCAGATATCTGTCCGTCAAAATCTCCAGATCAGACATCTGTCCTTCAAAATGTCCACATCAGACATCTGTCCGTTAAAATGTCCACATCAGACACCTGTCCTTGAAAATGTCCACATCAGACATCTGTCCGTTAAAATGTCCACATCAGACATCTGTCCTTCAAAATGTCCACATCAGACATCTGTCCGTTAAAATGTCCACATCATACATCTGTACGTCAAAATGTCCACATCAGATATCTGTCCGTTAAAATGTCCACATCAGATATCTGTCCGTCAAAATGTCCACATCAGACATCTGTCCGTTAAAATGTCCACACCAGACACCTGTCCTTCAAAATGTCCACATCAGACATCTGTCCGTTAAAATGTCCACATCAGACATCTGTCCTTCAAAATGTCCACATCAGACATCTGTCCGTTAAAATGTCCACATCAGACACCTGTCCTTCAAAATGTTCACATCAGACATCTGTCCGCTAAAATGTCAATACCAGACCTGTCCTTTAAAAAAATTCTACTTAGACAAACGTACATGTATTTATAGATGTTCATGAAACTTTTAACACCTGATCTGTCCGTCAAAATGTCCACATCAGACATCTGTCCGTCAAAATGTCCACATCAGACATCTGTCCGTTAAAATGTCCACATCAGACATCTGTCCTTCAAAATGACCACATCAGATATCTGTCCGTCAAAATGTCCACATCAGACATCTGTCCGTCAAAATGTCCACATCAGACATATGTCTGTTAAAATGTCCACACCAGACATCTGTCCGTCAAAATGTCCACATCAGACATCTGTCCGTTAAAATGTCCACATCAGACATCTGTCCGTCAAAATGTCAACATCAGATATCTGTCTGTTAAAATGTCCACATCAGACATCTGTCCTTCAAAATGTCCACATCAGACATCGGTGAGCCAAAAAGTCCATATTGACAGACATAAAGATATGACCGTCAAAATGTCTGTATCATGTATATATATATATATATGTCCGTAAAAACATTATGTCCACACCAGATACGTCCGATAGCTTTCCACAAGACATGCCATCTATAAATATCTAATGTCAGCGGTTGGAGTCAAAAGAAAGCAAGCTTAACAGAGTTCCATATCCTTTGTTAGATGATACTCGTTAGAAACTGAAAAATCGGAGGCAATTATGATTACATAACTGCCATAGGATACAGATAAGTTGTACATTTTAAGATTTGTAACAGGTCAGGATTATGAGTCAGGAATGCATGACAGCACTCTTCACTCGTAAAATATATAAGTGTAGGAATTCAGTGTAGTGCTGGACACCGAGGAGTTACTTCTTCGACGTTGACGACTTTTTGAAAAGATTGGTATTTTTTTTATTACTATTATGCAGTTTTACTGCCAACACGGCCCTAGTAGACACCGCCCTACATGTATATCCGCATTTGATCTTTTCTTGGTCGCGGAGCGATCGGTCAAAATAAAATCGCGTGTAGATTTCTGAATCCTGCGGACCATTTCGTGTGACACTGCTGTGATGTAACCTTTCAAAGACGTTCTTGTTTAAAGCATGTTTAAATGTCATTTAACATTTCTTTTAAGGAATCGTTACGATATTTCGTTCATTTTCCTGTCTACACTAAGTCTGTATTAATTAAGCATTTCAGAATTTGCGATTCAGAGCTGTGTGTCTGAATATCGGAACTAAAAAAATGCCGTTTCAAATCTGTCCGCTTTCATATCATTCCAAGATGCACGAGTGAGCCGACACACAAATCAGGCCAATGTAGCGATAAAGCGAACAGGAAGTGTACATATTAAAATCGAGCGCCTTTTCCGGTGAAATGGCTGTCAATACTGAAAATCGAGTAAACTTTCGAGTTGTCAGATTTATGTATGAAGCTGGTAAGTATTGTAGAGCATCTCACGAAATAAATCGATCACAGCTTGGATTAATATAAAAGAAATTTGCACCCAAACATTGTAACATATAATAGGTATCAACCTGTGTTCACGTGCCTGGGTGTTTCACTGTCACCAGTTTTGACGAATAGAATATTCACGCTAATCTTATTAATCCAAAGCTTTGTCTCTTGTGAAAGCAAGCATATGCCTAGCAATAACATTCTGTTAGACTACTGTCGATAATATTCGATGATTTGTGGAAATTGTCCATATCGTGATTAAAAACAAAAACGATTTACGGGACTGGTTTTATTACGGAATGGAATTTCAAAATCCGCCTCGGCAAGAGAAAATATTTATGCCTACGCATAGGGTCAATGGGATACTAATCAAGAAAAAATCTTTCCCTTATATTTGTTTGCTTAATATTTTATATTTTCAGGAATTGTCAACGTGCGTTATATACATGTATATATATTTTACTAAAATATTCTAAAGCTTTGCTATCATGGAGAAATTATACAAGACATTTTCTGAAAAGAAAGATTTTACGTCCTATTAACAAAACAAAAATAGATATTTAAATAAATAATTTCATGAAGTCCTACTTTGATTTCATTAATAGAAAGCACTTACTGTTTGTACTTCATGATAATAACTGATAATAGGCTGACCAAATAGAAGCAGTGCTTGATTTCTCAAAGGCATTCAACAAAGTTCCACACCAAATACTTTCGCACAAGCTCCACTATTGTGGTATCTGAGGGTACACACACAAAAGAATTGAGAGCATCCTGTCCAATCAAACTCGGAAGGTAAATATTTGAGGGCTAACAGTCCAACATCCCCAGTAACATCAGGGTTTCCCTCATGGAACTGTCCTTGGACCATTACTATTCCTGGTCTTCACCAATGATCTACCCTGGAGTGTATTTCCACTCCTTGCCTGTTTGTGGATGACTGTTTGTTGGTCAATGGCCTCCAAAAAGATTTTTAAATGAAGGATTACTTTTTCTTAGTTAGGTGTCGCTATGATGTATTGATCATTTTGACTGCACATAATTAGTTTTCATTGATATAAATGTGTTAATATACTTGTATAATATGAACACATATTTTACAGATAATTGTCTGGTCATCTGACAAGTTTTTATACAAATAACCATACAGAGAGGGAAACAATGAAAAGAATGATATACCTGGGGTGTATGGAATTATACATGCAGGTATTGAAAGAATTTGGTGTTGAAATTTTTAACACATCTCACTGATTTCCCAAACCATAGTGCATGGTTGTTAAAGTAGAAAAGAAAAATTGATTATTAATAGTAAAAGTCTGAAATGACCATGGACTGAATTGGTTTTTTGTACACAGGTCAGAAGTTGCAGCTAGCTTACTCAAATAGTGTTTTCACATCGAGAAAATGATGAAAGGCATCTTATCCCAGCAGCACAATATTATATAATGTCAGATGATAAATTGACTGACTCGCAGCCTCTTGTGTTATAGGAGTATAACTAGACTTGAGTTTGCACCACTGACTACTGATGAAAGTAAAAATTTGTTGACAAATGAACAGTAATTTCATGTTTTGTGTTAACAGGTCTGAAGTTGAGGCTGGAGTCTGTACCACTGGCTACAGCAGCTGTCATCTATCACAAATTTTTCCGAGAAAATTCCTTACATGATTATGACCCATATGTAAGTCCAAAATAATTCAAAAGTTTTCTTTTAATAGGGATTTCTGTATGAACCTTTGTTTTTTGTATACATATATGTGAAGGAGACTGGTCATTTATAATTCAATCTTTAAAATCAGAGACCTGACCAACTTGTTTAGATCGATGCTGAAATTGACAATGCAGATAAGTGATTTCTTATTCTACATGCATATTACATGTGACTATTTAACCACCGTAAATTAATGCTTATTTTATGCAATGTCAATTTGAAACAATAAAGCACAATGATGAATTCAGGCATTCACAATAGTTGCAATATTAATGACACACAGAAATTGCAATAGGCACTACCATATTCAAGTGTTATGTTTTTTGTGAAAAAGACTCTACAAGAAGATTGACATTAAAATCAGTATGTTAAAAGTGCAGTTGTAAGCTTTGGCCAGCTGATTTATTTGAAGTATAACTACACTACAATGTGTAACTCAATGTTGTTCATCTGCTTTGTAGACAATAGCCACAACTGCAATATATCTGGCTGGGAAAGTTGAAGAACAGCCGCTGAAGTTAAGGGATGTCGTCAATGTCTGTTATAGGTAGGATCCATATATATTTATCTCCCTTTACAAGAGGCCAATTAGAATCATTTGCACATGTGTGCAATGAGTGCAGATAATATGAAGCCACCCTCATTTCATCTTTGTGACAATGCCATCAAACCAGACTAGGTACATTTTGTATTATAGTATTAGTCTCAATAGTTCTCAGAAACTGTAAGGTGACAGAAAATCAAATTCCACAGATTTTTCATCAGGATCAAGACTTAGCAAGATGCAGATATAAAGATGTGACTTCCAGTTAACAAAGTTTTTATTTGTGCAGTAAACGTTTTTTGCAGATTGTATATTGTTACTTTGCATGACATTTAGATTGCTGATATGTGTATATAATGTAAAAAATGTACTTCTTCTTTGTGTGTTTTATAAGGTTATGTAGGTAAAAATCTGTTGTAGTGTAGAAATCAGGGTTATTAGTTTGATCATCCTCTGGACATTATTCTAATGTTACTGTTTTGAAAATCTGAGCTAATATTGAAAAATAGGAAGTTCCCAAGTAAACAGTGTAAAAAAGGTTAAATGCAGACCATGAGAATTCAGCAAAGCAAAAAACAGTTTTGGAGGATTTTTTTTTCAGATATATCCAGGACAACATTACCAAAAATTTTGATAAGTCCCAATACATCTGTGTTCAGAAATATATAGACCTAGGGCTGTTCCAGCAAAATACCTATTTGACCCTGGACTTCTAAATAAATTACTTCTGTCCTTGGTTTGGTTTCCTGTCTATTACTTCCAAACATATTGTCAAGTAATTCTATGGGTGGTACCCTTAAACAAAACCTGGAGTCCTGGGTGGGATAGATATTTAACTGGAATAGCCTTAAACAAAACCTGGAGTCCAGGATTGGACAGATGTTTACTGGAACAGTCCTAAACAAAACCTCGAGTCCTGGGTGGGATAGGTATTTAACTGGAATAGTTCTAAACAAAACCTGGAGTCCTGGGTGGGATAGGTGTTTTACTAGAATAGCCCTAAGCTAATCCTGAAGTCCTGGGTGAGATACTCTGATGTTTTACTAGAATAACCCTTAGTTGGTTCTCAAAATTTGATCAAGTCTAAAATTCCCCAATATCACAGAATTCAGATGAACTGACATCCATACAGAATTTAAATTGATAACTGATGATTATAATGCAAAATAAGTAGAGAAAATAAGGTCCTAACAAGTAAAATAAGTCTGAAATGTTAAAATCTGAGGCAAACAAAGATAGGTAAGCCTGTTCGTAATTGTGTACCAATCAGAAAAATCTGTGGCAAATATTCATGAAGTTACTTATATTTGTGATCTGTATGTTGTTGATTTCTGTTGTTAGGACACTGCATAAAAATAAACCTCCATTGGAGATGGGCGACAAGTACTGGGCACTGCGAGACTCTGTGGCAAGCTGTGAACTGTTTGTTCTTAGGATGCTCAACTTCAAAGTGGTGTTTGACCACCCCCACAGGGTAAAATAGTTTCAAGAAAAATAGCGATGGTTATTTGAATATCAATTCACTGTGATATAGACTTGTATACCTCAAACCAGATGGCTCAAGTCTTTGAACATTTCAATTTTTTGACAATGTAAAGATTCTGTACTTGGTACATAGATACATTTTGTCATAACGTCACATATTAAAAAAAATAATGTCATTTTCCAGGGTATATGAGGGGAAAAAAAAGACGAGAGTGCACTTTCAGGGATATATGTAATTATTAGATTGAATAGATGGTGTTGCAGTGATAACCACCTTTGATCATATTTGGCGAGACTTTTATACAAAATCTTGCCAGTGGTCTATGGGGATGCAGAATTAATGAACTAATGAAAGCCTGCAGGTAGCTTCTAAGTCTCCTGACAGTTTCAAGCTTGAAGAGAAATTACGTTTGAATTCAAATGAAGATATACTGATATTAATCAGTGCTGTAACTTTTGTAAACAATGTATATACAACCATATCTTTTATTTGTAGTACCTTTTACATTACCTGAAGTTTCTCAAAGACTGGTTCGAGCCGTATCGATGGGAGGATTTACCAATAGCTAGGACAGCCTGGGCACTTCTGCGAGACTGTTACCATAGCAATGTCACTTTGAAGTACAAACCAGATCATATTGCTGTGGCCATTTTATATCTGACTCTACAGTGTCACGGAGTTGATGTTCCATATCTGTACCATTCAGATACTCCATGGTGGAAGGTATTTACTCCAACAGGAAGAATATATATGCAGTCACCATTTTGTTATTGTTAGGTCATCTGACCCAAAGGGTGATCATTGTCCATTTACTAATGTTGGATTGTTCCATCTTACACAGTAATATATGTTGTTAACCACTAGCCAATTACTGTCATGCTTCCAAAAGATGACATGTGAGAATGGTATCTGGTTGTACTTGTCTGACTAAAGTGAGTTGAGCTGTAGTTTTAGTTGTCTTGATATGTGCATCATAGCTTCATGTTTAAGTACAAATTTACATTACAAGCTACAGAAGAGAGTTGGACTTTCATAGTAAAAGGTATCCAGTTGGTGAACTCAATCTGTGTTTATACTAACAATTGTTGGGATTTATTTCCCTTGAAATGTAAAGCATGGCTCTTTTGTTTTTTAGGTATTTGCTGAAGATGTTACAATAGGAAACTTGAAGGATATAATGAGTGATATTATGGACAATTACGATCTGGAAACATCCTTACAACCATGAAGATTGATTGCTGGTGTGTTACGGCAAAAGATGTTGGCCCGAGCTCTATCTTGGCCAGACGTTATGGCAATTCTGATAAATGGAATGACCCATACACTTCAGGCCTTGTATGGCTTGACCAGGGTATTTGACCATCAAGTTTCAACTGATGAGAGACATGTGTCCATACTCTTCAGGCCTAGTAACTCTGGCTGACCAGTGTAACTGATCATCAAGTTACTTACATAATGTAACAGAGATGAGTCAGCATACCTTATGCCTGGTTGCTAGTTAACTCCAACTGACCACACCTAATGACCAGCAAGTCCTGAATATTCACCAGAAATGTACTCCAGAAATGACAATATCTGTGACTCAGACTGGGCAAACACAGCGAACCATACTTGCCAAGCTGTCTAACTTCCTGCACTATCTCTGTGTAAATGTCTCTGCATGCTTGCTAGACCAAAGGTAGATTCAGTACAGTATTACACTTATTTTAACAATTTGGTGATGTGAAAATTAATACAGATGAAATGATTATTGCTGAGAATGATTGGAAGTACATGTATAACAATATATTTATATTTGTTATTTTAAAATAAAACATTTTATACACTAATATTCTTGTAAAGTGCATTTTGTAGAATTTTCCTAATCATATATGTTAAATTAATTGGCTCTCCTCCATTGTCTTGCCCGCATAGTCTTGACAAATATTTCATTCATACAAGTATATAAAATCCTAACACATGTATTACATAAGTCTTTCTTAAAAAATTTTAGGTAAGTGTTGGAGCCGGAGACTTGTTATATAGTAGCCTACAGAGAAAAGTGTCAGTACCATTATGACGCGTCAGACGTACGTTGAGACAATATCAATGTCAAAGCTACAGAGTCTTCAGATTTAGACATTTTCTTTTTAAAGTATCACTGATTGAAGTTTTTAACCGCAATAAAATTGGAAGAAATTCACCGTATTGAGTACATTTCAAGGCCAAAGCTATAAAAATCTTCATTATTAACGAATTTGCACATAACTAATTTACTTGTGGAGTTGAACTTTGCTGTGGATATGTATTTATCAATTATGGAGATTATGTTGATTTCAAGGTGTGAACATCTGTTCCATGGTTACATGTATGCAGTATCCTAGTATATATTTACAGAGTATATAGAGTGTCTTGTCTACCTATTCCTCCTTATTCATGAATGAAGTTTGTAGAGTCAGGACAGAATATATATAGTAACAATCCCATCAATTCAAAATTCAGTTGTTAAATTTGAGGACTTAGATTACTATTTATAGTAGCAGTGACCTCAATATTGTATAATATTGAGATGTGAACTTTAGAAGATGATTTTAAGTAAGTGTATTTAGCTTCAGGACAATCAGATAACATGAAGTTAAATTCTATGTATAGCATCAATGATATCAATTGCAAGTGAAATACTTAAGCAACTTCCTCTCAATAACCAAACGGCCCAAGATGCTATTAGGCCTATAGCACCCTGGGATGTAGGGCTACCAACTTCCTTAATATGAATGACATTGACCCACTTTCAAGGTCACAGGGATCAAATGTGTAAAAATGTTTAAATGACTCCTTTTCAATAACCAAAAGGCCCATGGTGCTGATATTGGACCAGCTTTTGAGGGCATGGGTCGAATGTGTTGAAATGCTTAAGCAACTTCTCAATAACTGAAAGGACAAGGGTCTTGATATTGGGCCTGTTGCTTGCTTTTTCAACAAGTCCTGAGTAATGGCAATGGTGCAGTTGATGTATAAAGAATATGATTTCAAATTGGTAGATGCCTTGATAACAAATAATGTCTTCTATGTAAGCTGTTAAAAATAGTTGAGCAATTTATTTTTTGCCTATTTTCGTAGGTCTTTATAGTCAGATGACCGTTAAGGCCCATGGACCTCTTTTACCGATATTAGTACAAGTATTTATTGGAAACGCCACGAGGGAAAACAGTGCTTCTGATTCAAGGCTTTAATGGGTTGAAAACTTCTGAGAAAAAAATCTCTGGAAATGTTGAAACGCTGAAAGGCAGTTATTATTCCAAATATTGTTGGATCAAAATGTTGGTCATTAAATCACGATTACATATTATGGTGATAAAACTTTCAAAGAAATCTGTTTAAAATGATGGGGAATATATTTGGACATGTTTAAATGTTGGAAAAAATAGCATTAAATCATCCAAAAATTGTTTTTCAGAAAAACACCATTTTATGACAAGGTTATAAATCTCCAAAGTATGAAAGAGATCAGTGGAAAACTTGGGGAGGTTTCCAGACAATATTAAAATGCTGAAAAATACAAATAGCTATAACTACTCTAAAAATTGTTGAATTGAGCCACTCTTCAGGGGAACACATGTTAATCTCAATCAGAGACCAATTGAACAGTTGGAGGAAATCTCCAAACAAGAGTTCACAACAGGATTGATGGACAGGCACACCATAACATAATATGTCCCATAAACAAGAGGCCCAATGAGTTGACAGCGCTCACCTGGTATAAACATACCATCAAATTTGACCCCTGTGATCTTTAATATAGGTCAAGGAAATTTCTTATCGCAAACTTTGCAGGCTGCATCCTAGGAACATACCAGTATCAGCCAAATATCATGCAGCTATGCCTTTTAGTTCACGAGAAGTCATTTAAATGTTTTAACAAATTTGGTCACTGTGACCTTGAATATAAGTCAAGATCATTTATTTTCCCAATCTGACCCCTGTGACCTTGAATATACATCAAGGTCATTTCTTTCTGCAAGCGTTGTTGGGCTTTATCCTAGGAACGTACCAGCAAAATATCAAAACATTTGGTCCATTGGTTATTGAAAAGAAATTGTTTTTTAAAAAGTTGACAGATGCTGCACCACAGCATGAGTAAGTCTTGTCCCTTCGAGCCAGGTGAGCTAAAAATCTTGACAAGTGTGATAAAAATAAGTTGGCAGAGTATATAATTTGGTTGTCATGCATATAAGGATTCCCATAACGGTCATCTGACAAAAAGCAAGCCAAACCTAGAAAGTGGGTTGAGGTCATTCATTTGAACAAACTTGGTAGCCTCTCCTCCAAGCATCTTACAGGCCCAATATCAGCACTCATGGACTTTTGCTTGTTGAGAAGAAGTCGTTTGTATATTTTAACATATTTGACCCCTGTGACCTTTAAAGTGGGTCAAGGTCATTCATTTGAACAAACTTGGTAGTCCTTCATCCCAGCATGTCACAGGCCCAATATCTACACTCTGAGCCTTTTGGTTAATGAGAAGAAGTTGTTTAAAGATTTTAACATATTTGACCCCTGTGACCTTGAAAGTGGGTTGAGGTTATTCATTTGAATAAACTTGGTAGCCTTTCCTCCCAGCATGCTACAGACCCAATATTGGCACTCATAGACTTTTGCTTATTGAGATGAAGTCCTTTGTATATTTTAACATATTTGACCCCTGTGACCTTGAAAGTGGGCCAAGGTCATTCATTTGAACAAACTTTGTAGGGCTCCATGCCAGCATACTATGGGCCAAGTATTAGCCCCCTAGGCCTTCTAGTATTTGAGAAGAAGTTATTTAAAGATTTTGACATATTTGACCCCTGCGACCTTGAAAGTTGTTCAAGGTCATTCATTTAAATAAACTTGGTAGCCTTTCCTCCCAGCATGCTACAGACCCAATATCGGCACTCATAGACTTTTGCTTATTGAGAAGAAGTTGTTTAAAGATTTTAACATATTTGACCCCTGTGACCTTTAAAGTGGGTCAAGGTCATTCATTTGAACAAACTTGGTAGTCCTTCATCCCAGCATGTCACAGGCCCAATATCTACACTCTGAGCCTTTTGGTTAATGAGAAGAAGTTGTTTAAAGATTTTAACATATTTGACCCCTGTGACCTTGAAAGTGGGTTGAGGTTATTCATTTGAATAAACTTGGTAGCCTTTCCTCCCAGCATGCTACAGACCCAATATCGGCACTCATAGACTTTTGCTTATTGAGATGAAGTCCTTTGTATATTTTAACATATTTGACCCCTGTGACCTTGAAAGTGGGCCAAGGTCATTCATTTGAACAAACTTTGTAGGGCTCCATGCCAGCATGCTATGGGCCAAGTATTAGCCCCCTAGGCCTTCTAGTATTTGAGAAGAAGTTATTTAAAGATTTTGACATATTTGACCCCTGCGACCTTGAAAGTTGTTCAAGGTCATTCATTTAAATAAACTTGGTAGCCTTTCCTCCCAGCATGCTACAGACCCAATATTGGCACTCATAGAATTTTGCTTATTGAGATGAAGTCCTTTGTATATTTTAACATATTTGACCCCTGTGACCTTGAAAGTGGGCCAAGGTCATTCATTTGAACAAACTTTGTAGGGCTCCATGCCAGCATACTATGGGCCAAGTATTAGCCCCCTAGGCCTTCTAGTATTTGAGAAGAAGTTATTTAAAGATTTTGACATATTTGACCCCTTTGAAAGTTGTTCAAGGTCATTCATTTAAATAAACTTGGTAGCCTTTCCTCCCAGCATGCTACAGACCCAATATCGGCACTCATAGACTTTTGCTTATTGAGAAGAAGTTGTTTAAAGATTTTAACATATTTGACCCCTGTGACTTTTAAAGTGGGTCAAGGTCATTCATTTGAACAAACTTGGTAGTCCTTCATCCCAGCATGTCACAGGCCCAATATCTACACTCTGAGCCTTTTGGTTAATGAGAAGAAGTTGTTTAAAGATTTTAACATATTTGACCCCTGTGACCTTGAAAGTGGGTTGAGGTTATCCATTTGAATAAACTTGGTAGCCTTTCCTCCCAGCATGCTACAGACCCAATATCGGCACTCATAGACTTTTGCTTATTGAGATGAAGTCCTTTGTATATTTTAACATATTTGACCCCTGTGACCTTGAAAGTGGGCCAAGGTCATTCATTTGAACAAACTTTGTAGGGCTCCATGCCAGCATGCTATGGGCCAAGTATTAGCCCCCTAGGCCTTCTAGTATTTGAGAAGAAGTTATTTAAAGATTTTGACATATTTGACCCCTGCGACCTTGAAAGTTGTTCAAGGTCATTCATTTAAATAAACTTGGTAGCCTTTCCTCCCAGCATGCTACAGACCCAATATCGGCACTCATAGACTTTTGCTTATTGAGATGAAGTCCTTTGTATATTTTAACATATTTGACCCCTGTGACCTTGAAAGTGGGCCAAGGTCATTCATTTGAACAAACTTTGTAGGGCTCCATGCCAGCATGCTATGGGCCAAGTATTAGCCCCTAGGCCTTCTAGTATTTGAGAAGAAGTTATTTAAAGATTTTAACATATTTGGCCCCTGTGACCTTGAACGTGGGTCAAGGTCATTCACTATAACAAACTTAGTAGCACTTCATCCCAGCATGCCACAGGCCCAACATCTACACTCTGAGCCTTTTGGTTAATGAGAAGAAGTTGTTTAAAGATTTTAACATATTTGGCCCCTGTGACCTTGAACGTGGGTCAAGGTCATTCACTTGAACAAACTTAGTAGCACTTCATCCCAGCATGTCACAGGCCCAATATCTACACTCTGAGCCTTTTGGTTAATGAGAAGAAGTTGTTTAAAGATTTTAACATATTTGACCCCTGTGACCTTTAAAGTGGGTCAAGATCATTCATTTGAACAAACTTGGTAGTGCTCCATGCCAGTATCCTCTGTGCCAAGTATTAGCCCCCTAGACCTTCTAGTATTTGAGAAGAAGTTGTTTGAATGAAAAGTTTACGCACGGCGGACGGCGGATAACGACGGACGAAGCACGATGGCTATAGGTCATCTTGACCCTTTGGGTCAGATGACCTAAAAACATACTATCAAATTAAATTACCAACATAACACAATACAGGTTTTACCAATTTTATTACTGCACATGCACAGTTATTGATGAACTGTAATTACAAATGACAGCAGTTGATGAAGCTGCTAAATGGGCCAACCCATTAGTTTGTCCGTGGAAACTAATCTCAAGGATAACAGTGTATGCTGTTTTACAACCAATTTTTGGACAGTTGAGAAGTGAGGTATGCAACCACAGCAGTTAAATATGTGCTTGATTTCCTTGAGCGTGGCATGTTAAATATATGTTGTACAATTAAAAACATCCATTTTCATCAGACATTTTTAGTATTCATGAAAAATGTTTGCAAAACTCCTCTTTTGTCTTAGTCACATGACAGTTAAAAAATAACTGAATTTATAATAAACAAATATTAATGTGTTTATTACATAACAGGTTGACAGAGAACTTGATTGTTAAACATATTAACAAACAGTATTTGTTATATTATGTACAAGTACATACACTTGTTACCAGATCAGCCCTATAAATATATGGCGCATACTGTACTCCGTACATTCAATATTTAGAGGTACCTGTATAATCAACAAGAATGCCATTTTGTTATTTTGATTCAAACTTTCCCTGATCACTGTTTTAAGTACTGTAACAAAGCTGATCAACACTTCACTTCAGATGATGCACAGTTTGAAACAATCATAGACATGATGAAGCTTTTGTGAAAATTTTGGATGATCTATAAAAAAAAATCCACAAAAATCCAATTACTGTATACATTCTATATATTTACCAATTACAACTTTTACCATCTCAAAAGCTGAATTGAACAGTCAAGTAGGACAACTATGGTAAAAAATTACATAAATCTCATGCAATCTGGTTCTGTAATTTCATCATAAGATTACTGTAAATCAGGATATTTTTGCCATACAAAATAAGTTACGATCACCCATGTACCATTATATATGAATTTGCCCTCCATGGATTTTATGAGAGGGTGATATAATTGTTACAAATTTTCACTCCATCTTAAGTTTGCCTCCCTGTTCATGGGCGAGAAAGGTGAAGTTTAAGCTGTGGAGAAAATGTCCCGTTGTACACAGGTATACAGTATATGAATTGTTTTTTCTGTACTTTGTATCATCAAAGCTGTGAAATTTTCAAGGTTAAAAAACTTATTTCAGTTTAAAAAAATGAAGATGTAATTTTAAAGTGAAAAGGAACTATCAATATATGACAATATATTTTTTCAGGGTTATTTATATTTTGGGTCAGAATAAAAGTTCCAATTGGCCTTCTAAAAGTGTCAGGATTTTAAAATGTAAAACCTCCGAGATTCCCCCACCAAGAATGTGTATATTTGTATTTTGCAATGTCTGTACTTAAACAGAATGGGAGAGGTGGATCAAGTTGACTAGGTACTATGTACCTCATGACTGCTAATTACAAAACATAATGGGAGTTGTTTACATATAAGCAAATCGCTCAATAATACCATAGGTAAGATATATACATACACTGAATGATGATGATGGGAAATGCACACCAAACTTAAAATATGTCAATCTCAGGAGAAAAATGCATGATACACATTCAAAAAGTTATATAAATCTTCACTGGTACTAAATGTTTGCAAATATATGAGCATATATTTTGACAGTTCTGACCATTCCTGTTATAAAGTACCCCGTTACTATGCATTAGGCTTTGTATATGCCAAGTCAATATAAATACAGTCATCTGAGGTTCTATGGATGGTATGCAGTATATACATGTTTCATCATAAATAGTTCAATTTGGGACACCACAGCGTATTAATATTTGTCAAGTAGACAATGTATATACGAGCCATGTACGCATGATATGTCTCCATTTGGAAATAATTAACATCAGTAAAAATTTCCTAAAATATCGATGGCATTCTAAAGAAACAGGAAAGAAGAAAATGTATATGTATTAATAGAATCTACACAAATTAAAACTTGTTATATATCAATTACAGGTAAATATAAAAGTTCATTAGCTGCTACCTGAATGCAACTCCTACAGTACTTCATTAACTCAAACGAAAGAACAGCATCTTGTGGGTTTGATGACAGTACTTCAACTTGACAAAATATGAAATCGATTTTAGATAGAATAAAAAACACTATCACCCTTTTTCCACTGAAAATGGTAAAATATTTTGAAATTAAACACACAGTACCTTGGCATTGCAACAAAACATGAAAATATACATTAAGAATTTTCTTTCATTGATAAAAGCCTACCTGAAGCCTAAAAGTGCATGTAAAAGGAGACAAATGTTCTAAGATATTATTCACATGCTGTAAACGTACTTAATTTGGCACAAATCAAACTTTAGTGCATAATCACTGGCATGTTCATGCAATGATAAATTCATGATAATTATTATATAGAGGATATGTAATAATGTCTTCAGTACCAGATATGTTTCATAAGTGTGTCTAGTATTTTAGTATCTTTCACGAGCAGCCCTCATGAAAGATACAAAAATATTAGTCACACAAGTGAAAAATATTTGTTATAACTGAAGACACTGTTAGATATTCTATTTATTAAATTTTCACAAGCAAAATAGCCAAATTACTGGCATGTTTAGAACAAATATGAAACGAGGAAGCTGACAAGGCTTTTCGCAGACACTACTCACTTATTATAGCTTTGCAGTACGCGACAATTTATAGACCATTTTTTTATTTTTAAGTCATTCAAAATAAAAATAAAATAAAAATAAAATTCATTGTAAATTTATTTTCATATTCACTTAGAAAGTATAATGTGTTCATGTCACTAAGAGACAAAATTTGCTGTAAAACATTCAAAGGGAGTTTTACCTGTGTCAAGTTACTACACGACTGAAAATATGGTGGTAACCTACAGCTGTTGCTGTTGATAACACGAATCCCCTAGAAACATCTCAGGTGTTAGCTCCACATTCAAGGCGTTCAGTTGGGAAGTAGATTTGTTCTCTGATAAGGTAACTTGCGTTGCATTGTTTGCTGACTTTCACAGAAATGAATGTTTACCTTGGAATCGATGGTTGTGTCACAAGTAAACAACCCCTTAAGGTGTCTGGTTTTGTGTTTTTTTTTATTTATCAATTCTATCAGATGATTTGTGTTCTCTTTTCTCATTGGCTTAAGTCTGCATATATCGCTTTATTTCACTGGCAAAAACGTAATAAATATGCAGCAGAGAGAAACTTCAATTAGCACACTCATATTAAGTGAAATACTTTCAGGACACAAGTACTAAGATAACTGCTAGAATAGTATGCGTTTACAGCATGTAAGCAATAGACTGAATACATAGTGCAAATCTTGTTATCAAGTAATCTAGATTTGACCAAAATATATAAAGATTTTACAAATGTGAAATATTTTAAGTTGGATTTGGCTAACTTCCAGGCATTAGTTCACTCTTGCACAGCTCTAAATAAAATCCTTTCTCTTAGAGAGTCTAGGTTGTCATATTTCTATCCCAAGAGAAGAGAAGTCCCCCTATTCTCCCACATGTTGAAGGACCACCTCAGAATCGGTTGAGACCACATTTGTCAAGATGCCAAACACCTCTGTTGAAAGATCTCCTCTAAAGGGAGACAACTTCTATCAAGAAACCACCTCGTTCGATTAATTACAGATCCTGAAGAAAGCACATATTTTTTTTTTATAAATTGGGACCAATTTATTGTTGGAAAATTCCAGTACAAAATCAGATGTAAGATTTAAAGGGGAGAGTTAAGGATTGATCTGTTGATCAGTCCTGACCAGTGGCTATATGAAGGTTGGCATACCTGTTATACAGGAATCAAAGATGTTTATGATTGGGATTACACATGATAAAAGATATATAACACACAACCATTCACTCAGTAATAACTATGAAAATAATCCAACAAAGAAATACCTTTTTTTCAGAATATAAATGAGTCTCTATATATGGTAATTTTATATATTCATTGTGTAGCCACATGTACACAACTCCTTGTATCATTTCATTATGTCAAGACTCCTAATAACTTGTGAGATCATTTAATATTCATTACAACCAATTAGCACATATACATTATCTAATTCAAAGATTTTGGATTGAAACCAAGGCAAAGTTTGGTTGAAAAGTTAAACCATGTGTTGTTACAATTTGAAGGGTTTCTGTAGTTTTGGTTAGAACAAAACTTAAACCTATATACTACATATATATAGTCACCAATAAAATAAGTAAAGTTAATGGACACACAAATTTTAATTTCACTTGTTTCTTTCAGTTTAGCTATACAGAATGTATCTTGGTTAATCAAAGTCATACAAAATATTGATTCGAAGACAAACCTGTCCTAATTTTAGGCACAATGGTAATTATCCCTGCCCAACAACTGTATACATTATTTGACATCATCCAAGACATATCCACTTTCTTTCTGGCAATAATCATCTTGCATTGTTTTAATTGAGTTGAAACAACATACTGAAGATCTATGTAACTTGGTAACTTTTTAACACCAATTAAAAAGAGCTCCACTACCAAACTTCCAAAGGACTTAAATACAGCACTTATTTCAACTCCCTTCAAAGGAAGATTTTTTTTATTATTTTTTTTTCAATTTCCAAAAAGAATTGTCCAGAAATATATGGTACAAGTTAATAGTCCTTCAGAAATGAATAATCAATTTTAGGAATTCATTGAAAATGATATCTTTTCTCCAAGTACATTACCAGGGGATATATTACTGTTACATGCAGAAATATCTATAAATGTATTTCTAACTTCAAAACATGAAGGGGTACACATACAATGTGTAACATGTATCTTTAATATTACATAATATCAATAATATATAAATAATACGAGAAAGCACTAATAAGTAACGAGACCTTTGTTAATTACAATGGTGTTTTTTTTTTTGTTTTTTTTTCTCTCTTTTTCTTTTCGAAAATATACAATTTACAGTGAGTTCAAAAATTAAAATTACAGTTAAAAATCAGAAAAAGGAAAGTCTGACTGAGCAAGTGTGCACAGAGGTCACAGCATATCGACTCACACAATTTTAAAATGAGCACTATAAGAATCAATTATTACATAGCAAACAATGTATAAAGATGAGGTTAAAATGGAACATTCAATCAATCTTTGTTCTCATCACAAAATATCACATACATTTTATGATAAAATCAATTAACAGCCACATACATACAACGTCACAGAGACCTTTTAGCAGCTACATGTAGTATTTAAGTTTTTTTTTTTCATATATAATGCCAAAAACAAATTTTTTTCAAACCAAAATGTGCCAGCTAGTATGATTTTGCTCTTGTTTTATTTTTGCTCCTAGATCTTATCAACCATATACATGATGCTCAGTGATTATGATTCAGTAATTCATCAGGAGGCAAGTCAATCTTGCTAGCTTTCAATTGAAAAGTGTAATTATTATCAAACAAGATATACAGGCTAATTAAAATATTTCTAATTTTTGTTGAAACCCAGTAATAAAAGGATAAAGAATATACAATGCAGTGTAGAAATGTGACCTAAAATTTCCTATCTTTATTGCCATTTAACAGTATCAATGAGTTACTTCCCCTTCAAAATATCATTTCTAGGTTTTAGTTTGATCAAGAACTATAGAGGTCATAGTCTTCTTATAGAGGTATCTATCTATGTAGAAGATCAAATCTACTTTGGTATTGTTTGATTTGCATTTGTAGAGAAACAAGAAGCTGTGGTATTCCAATATCACTAATAACTCCATCATTAATTTCTCTTTGGTTACAGGGGCATTCTTTTAAGCGAAGCTAGAATTATGCTATGCCATTGTTTTTCAATTTTTTTGTCTAAATGAGTCTCATTCTTATACACATGCCCAACAATGATGAAAAAGGCATGGAATTTAACAGAAAATACAGGTTTATATTCACTGTTTGGATTAATCCGGGCGCTTCTGGTCAAAGTTTTGTTTTTTGTAACTATGAGTTAGCTTTGAATTTCAACTGCAATATTAGTGTGAAGTCAATAACTTTCACTATTTCAGAAAAATACACTATTTTCATTTAGTTTTATATTGATATAAATACAAATAGCTTCAACAATGTGATGCCCCTTTCAACCTGAACAACTAGACACTGCTTCTACATGCATTATTATTGGGAAATATAGCTGTGATTGCATATTACATGGAAAATTATTACCAAGGTAAATAGTTGATGATCAAACAAACCCATTACTGTGTCACCTACACACTTCCACAGAGAAGATTAAGTAACCTAAAACCTGGTGCCACTTTCACACATTACCATTAGTCAACCACGAAAGTCATTATTAAAAAGGCTGACCACTGACTGTCACCTAACACATAAGGAGGTGCACATTCAAGAAAAGGTATGAATTTAGTTTTATTTCTAGAGAATATCTTAAGAAGTTTCAAATATCTATGTTTCTGGTACTACTACATAAAAACCTGGGGGTCTTTGTCTTGGAGAGCTGTCATTCATTTCTGTTTTTGAAACTCTTCCTGGTTTAATTTACTTTAGTCTGAATCATATACCATTGACTTTTACCAGGATAATTATCAAAAGACTACAAACAATGTTTAAAACCGAGAACTGTAAAATTCATAATTCTGTATGATGTACACATCGTCTTGACATTTAAAATTGTTATAATATTATAATAAAGAAATTTTGTTTTGTTTCTAATTAATTATGTTGTTGGACTTAAAATTTTTAAGATCAGTCATCAGACTGGATAAAAGTTCTATGCTTAAATTTTAAATTATCTTGTATTTGACTATGTAGTTTCAGTCAATCTTCTAATATTTCTTTATACATTGTACACTATGTATAAAGAAATTTCTACTCTACATAAAACAGTTACCATAAAAAAGTATCTCCTATAGACATGTAGCTTAAAATCTCTCATCACATTCAGCTTTGTAACCGGTCATAACAGATATTAACAAATATCATTTTCAAATTGATCAAATGATCATAAAAAAGTTCAACTGTATAATATTCACCTCACAAAACTTGCCACACAAGGTAATGATATAAAGGGTTTTCCACACAACGATAGCACTATCAGTCTCCGGCAAGTCCAACACATCAGTGTTCAGTACCTCAAGAGGCAGAGCCTTCGGTCCATATGTATTTATGATCTTCTCTGGAACTTAACCACCTCAAACTGGGTCAAATCCAGCACACAACATCAGAACATATTACATGTTGTATCCATGCCATCCTTTACAACAATTTACGAACTTTCATTAACAATTTATAATTTCTACCTGGCATGTGTAGTTAGTTTCAGGAAATGAATACATTGTCCATTATTCATCACCAACACTTATGTCTTCACAACAGCAATACTTGCTCTAAAACAACACTGTGGACTCGTCCTTAGTCAAAGTAAAGGAGACAGTACCATTATATTGTGTAGTATTGTGCAAAACAAAGATATCTCTTATAATCGCCTTTCGAAAGAGACACATAGAGTTGTGTGTAATTTGCTGTTCAGATTAACGTGCTCATTTAGTTGTTATCGGGACACCTTGTACAGAATATCCAGCTATTCCAACAGGTGCACTGTCCCAAACGCTAGTGCTTATCAACCAAGTGGTGAGTCCCCGAAGACAACATTATACAAATTGGAGAAAGTGTCTCTATGTCTTTATTCCATAACCAAGATGACTGTACTAATACTCTCAATCTGAAGGAGCTTACAATATGTCGCTGAGGTGTTGACACCAATATCCCAGGGACATGAAGAAGCATTAATAGTCTGTGGCATAATGGAAGGCTCATCAAGTTTAGCACAGCTGCTAATCTGGTGTAGATGTTACCACAATGCCAGTCTATTATAAGGTAGGAACACGTCCTAATCCAAAGTAAAGTTTACCACAATGCTAATCCACTTAAGCATTACCACAATGCTAATCCACTTAAGCATTACCACAATGCTAATCCACTTAAGCATTACCACAATGCTAATCCACTGTAAAATATTACCAGGATGGTAATCCATTGTAAAGGTAACAAATAATGCCAAAAAAACACAATCAGTGACAATCTATCTTGGAAGGTGACTATCACACTAAGTAAGTTAAGAGCACTATTCTGACAGTGTGTGGACAGATTGCAGCTCCTGCCAGTCATCATTTAGTCTGTTGAGAAATTTCCATCAAAGACTTCTTGATGCAGTGGAGGAAAATCTTTCTGTTGCTCCATGCCCTGCAGCTTCATGCTGTTGAGCACCTCGGAATGCTTGTTGTTAAGGTTCCTAAAGAATGGTATGAGTGATATCGTCTTCGTGAACACCTTATTTACACCTGGAATGCACCATAAAAGATATATCAGTTATTTGCAATGAGTGTTTAAACAAGAATCTCCAACCAGATGAGAACATTTTTTACCAGTTAAACAGCCTGAATGGTAAAATGTAAGCATCATTAATAAACATTACACTTAGACATTATCCTTTTATTTTCCAACAAAAATGAAAGGTATATTAAAAACTTACAAGGAAATACATGTATTTATCGTTTTTGAAAGATCATCAAACACAAAAGTGGAATTCTTGAGTACTTACCTTCTTCTCCTTGTGAAGTAAGCATGAGATGATAAAGGCACTGAAGCAGCAGTATTTGTAGTTTGTCAATAGCTTTTGCATTCTTTAGGTTAAGGCGATCTGTGTAAGAGACAAAACATAAATCAGGAGACAGTACAAACCAAGTCACCCAAGTGACAATAAGAGATTCAGAGTCAAGAGACAACGACTTCACTGTATCATGAGTGACCCTATGTCTCAGACTTGAGTCACCCAACTGATTATAACTGGATAGAGACTGTAGTCGTCCAAGTGAACCTCAGTCACCAAAATGACAATATGGGATTCAGACTCAACTTATTACACAGAATGATTCAAATGCAAGTATTATGAGTGACAATACGTCTCAGACTTAAGTCCCCAAACTATAATGGAGATTCGACTGCAGTCATCCAAGTGACAATAGGACTCTGACTTGAGTAACTTGAGTTACAATAGGATTCAGACCAGAGTCACCCAAGTGACAATAGGATTTAAGACTTGAGTCATCAGAGTGACAATAGGACTCTGACTTGAGTAACTCAAGTTACTATAGGATTCAGACCAGAGTCACCCAAGTGACAATAGGATTTAAGACTTGAGTCATCAGAGTGACAATAGGACTCTGACTCGAGTAACTTGAGTTACAATAGGATTCAGACCAGAGTCACCAAAGTGACAATAGGATTTAAGACTTGAGTCATCAGAGTGACAATAGGACTCTGACTTGAGTAACTCGAGTTACAATAGGATTCAGACCAGAGTTACCAAAGTGACAACAGGATTTAAGACTTGAGTCATCAGAATGACAATAGGACTCTGACTTGAGTAACTCGAGTTACAATAGGATTCAGACCAGAGTCACCAAAGTGACAATAGGATTTAAGACTTGAGTCATCAGGGTGATAATAGGACTCTGACTTGAATCACTTGAGAGACCCATGCAGAACTACAAGAAATTGCTATAACAAACATTTACTGTCAAGATCAAAGCTAGCCACCTGTCAACTATCCATGACACCTACAAATGAAATTTGACAAAGATCCATCCAGTGATCCTCAAGAAGTAGTGATAATGATAATGATGACGGGCTAACAAAATATCTACGTTGAAGACGCATGCTTCTTACAAAATCTAAACACATTCCTACTTCTATAAAAACCTAATTGTTTTGTCAAAGTGTGTTTGGTTACATTTCCTTCAAGCTTATGTACAATCTGTGCCTCAAGATGGAACAGCAAATGTGTACAGGTCTGTATATATTTGTGTGGTAGTCCATGAAACATGCAATTAGCCATGAAACATTGTGAACAAAAAGCTTTACCTTGTAAATGTAATGGATGTGAACAAATTCCTTTTAGAACAAAAAATATTCACTTGCCTTTAGCAATATACCCATATACAAACTTGAAAAATATCAAAGGATAAGCTGGTCAACGCTTTGTTTCACTTACGAGGACAAATAATCAAAATAGATGAAAAGAGTGCAATTTCTACATCTGAGAGACATAGCGGGTTCAGCTCTCCTGCCACAATGAAAAACTCGTCCATGAAACTCCCCATTGGCATTGACTGTATCACCATCCTGAAAAAAAAAAAAGATTTAAAAAAATTAATGTCAAGGACTAAGTTATTTCCATGACACAAAAGGAAAAAATAAGGAAAACCTTCTTCTAGAGAATATATATTAATGAAAAAATCTAACTTACACCACTAAACATATAATATGCTTGCCTTTATTAACATCTGTGACAATACAATATGAACCAATATCATGTATTCCTATCATTCAACCTTTAAGTAAAATGTGTTTGATCAAATTAAATTGAGAAATGAAGTGATTAAACTAGTTAATGTCTCAAAGATAGTTAAATGTGACTTTGACCTTGCAACCCTGAAACAGATACTCGGGAAGGTATCGCCATTTAGGTGACCTTTGAAGAAAAATCAATAACCCTGACGAGAAATGATGAGGTCACTTCTAACACTAGAATGCCATTAAATCTGAGACCACTATCATATAGCCTGAGAGTAGATCATTCCCTCTTCTACACAAAACAAATGGACACAAACGACCATGTTTGTACAGCTCTAGCATCTCTAAATGTAGATTCTAAACTATTATGAAATTATCCATCTTTATTTCTGACTCACAGTACAGAGGTAAGCTTTTATTACAGTGTCATTACAATTGATGACAATTTCTGTTGCCAATTAATAGCGGCAATAGATGCTTATTAAAATCCCAATTTTTTTGCCATATCAATATCAGATATGTATGGTTGAGAATATTGGACAAGTTATATTCAGGATATATGAATGTACCTGGGACATTTCATTTTCATATCTGGGTCAAACATCTCTTGTGAATCCACGTCTACCAAGTTACACATACGACAGGCCAGTATCTCAAAAGATCCTTGCTTAATCAAAAGAATCTGGTCTTCCTGGCTGATCTCACTAAAACCTGTCACATAAACCAAACAATGAAGACTGCTGTTTTACAAAGATACAAGTGATTTCAGTTCAAATTTGTTTTAAAAGATACATGCTGTTTATATCAAATAAAAGTAAGTCAAAAATTTCAAGAGAAACTCTATGAAACTCACAAAATGCAAGATAAGAAAAGTAATTTGATAAAGTGAAGAAATATTCATTGTCAACTTACAAAAAATTTACAAGTACTTTCATACATACAATTATATATTACATATTCAGTGTACATAATCTGCAACTCTCACCAGAATGTTTACATGTTGTGTAAATGTCAAAGCCTTTTACTGATAACAATTATGATACATTTGGAAGTCCTTTAGATTCAATGTAGACATTTACTACCAATAAAGCTACACCTATGGACTTTCTTTCTGTACATACATTTTTATATCATGACTAACATAATATTATTTATATCCGTATACCTTTTTCTTTATACAATTATGCAAGGACATATAAAACTTACCAGGAATTCTTTTACAAAATTTGACTGCCTGTGTGATCTCTGGTACCATGTTCTGTAGGAACTGTTTCCACATCATGCCAGGGTCTAGAGAAAGTTCACTGAAGTCAGGCTGACAAACGAAAAAAAAGTAAAAGTAAGCTGCCACTGGCCATAATGGCGGACATATTATGTTAAATTACATTACACCAGGGTCTAAGGAAAGTTTACTGAGATCAGGCTCCCAAACACAAAACAACATGTAAAAGTAAGCTTCAACGGGTCAGAATGGCAGACATATTATGGTTAATTACATTACACCAAGGTCTAAGGAAAGTTTACTGAGATCAGGCTCCCAAACACAAAACAGCATGTAAAAGTTATTATATAAGCTTCCACCGGTCAGAATGGCAGACATTAATTACATTTGTACCAAAATAAAGCAAATGTTGAACAAGTGATTACAAAACTTGCAAATTCAATCCATATTCTAATGATAATAATGATAGAAAATGGCTGACTAATGAATATCACAGTCTGTTCAATTTCCTAGACAACAACAGAATATGATTGAATATACATAATATAGTATGTTCATTTTACAGACAACAGATAATGATTGAATATACATAATATAGTATGTTCATTCTTACAGACAACAATAGATAATGATTGAATATACATAATATAGTATGTTCATTCTTACAGACAACAATAGATAATGATTGGATATACATATTACAGTCTGTTAAAATGACTATGTCTTGTTATCAAAAGCAATGACATTGTCAATTATAACTGTGCTACTGATTCCTGCACTTTTGTTTTTTAATTCAGTAAATACAATTACCACTTTTAGAATAAAAAGAAAGTGCAGAGAATCAATAAGTACCGTTAACACTAATTGATTCTCTAATATCATACAATGAACATGTTGATTTTTTAACACTAGTTATTCAGTTATTTACACTCTTGAAAGGTTAGTGATATTTTGTCCTACCCATGATATAATGTATTTAATAGAAAACGATAAAATATTCTCTACACCCCATTTAATTATTATACAAATGTAATATAGAAGAGGGTATCTGTTTTAAATCATTTCTATGTTTGGTTTTCATTGTTTAATGTCTTCGCAACATCTTGTGTCATTTAAAGTCAGCCTCCTGGTAAACACGAGGTGAATGCACGTGTTGAATGTGTGCGTTTTTGGTATGTGTATTCTAAACATGTGTATTCTGTTAGCTCATTGTAAACTGTGAAGAGAGAATTATCAGTATATACCTAGTTTTTTGTCAAGAAATCATTGAAACACTGGGTAACAAAAACATAACTGTAGATCTCACTTATCAGATACTCTGTCAATTCCAATTATCTATTCTGCATAGATTATCAGAAAAGAAAACAAAATACACAACATCACAGACTTTGATGTCTAATTCAGTGATGGTTTATAGGTACATATCAGAAATTTAGGATATTTCCTGTGCTTAATCATGTCCATGATTAAGATGTCAATTAGCAGGCACAGTCCTCATTCCCCAACTTTCCAGGAACAAATTTGTGACCAAAATTCAATAAAACTACCAACCTCAACTGGTCAAAATTCATATTATAATCAACTTTCTAAAATCATGGTCTGTTAGAAGTAAATAACATCAATAACAAGAACTAGATTCCAATGCCTGGATAGCAACAATTCCAGTATTTTAAGCATTTTAAAAACATTTCCTCAATGAGACAGAGTATTATCACAAGTTATGGTGTTAAACCTTGCGAACGACAACAGCATGTTCCATTTGTAACATGTTTTGTTTTGCCCTTGACATAGTTCAGTTCGATGTGTCACGTATAGCAGCACTATGTTGAACATGTGTCTGCACTTACATGTACACAACTTGTATAAAGTTAGAAATGCGGCCATAAAAACAATTTAACAACATGCTCACAATATAGGATATTCTAACGAAATTGAAAATTAACAGGCACAAACTGAATATTGCTAGTGTATATAAAAACAAATGCTTGGATATATACACTGTTTCACTATACAAAACACTTAAATAAAATAACTGATAATCATATGATTTTTAAGCAGAAAATATGAGTGTTAAATATCTCCAGAATGAACGTACAAGACTGGTTTTCAAGTTCTATCCTTAATAAATATATTATGGTATGTTACCCCTAGTTTCAAAATACAAGTTAACACTGTAAACTTTGCATGCCCATTATCATTTCAAGTTGGGAAATGATATGTCAACAATCATGCTAGTTTCTGTCATACAAGTGGTGATGATATGTGTGGTGAATTAATAATCTCCCACTCTATGTTATTGTATCACGCACTGTAATGGAATCCCATGCACTTTTGAATGTCTTTGATAAAATAAAGGCTGTTTGAAATATCATCTTTTAAGACAAACTTGGGAAAATACTGAGGATTTATTTTAAGCGATCTCATTAAAACTGATGCATTTTGATAAAAATATTTCAATATCTGACGCGTTTGAAGTGTTGTTTTGTAGCTTTGGTATCTGACCTGCTGAAATAATTGGTTGCTCCAAAATGGTGGTTTGAATGGTGTCAAACAGCATGGCAGCGATACAGAAAATCAGTAAATATAAGGATTGTAACTTTCTAAATGGTTTTGCTTATTAGAGAGTAACCACCATTGAACCTACATAACCTGAGCTTTGCTGTTTGTTGTTATTTCCCAGTAACCTAGAAGTTAACCTATAACTTAACACTATATTATATAGGTCAAAGTTCACTTAATATAATTTCACATATACTTCTTCTTTTAACAATTATGATGTATAATTATTAACCAGTAACCTACAAGTTAACACTACATCACATAGGTCAAAGTTCACTTAATATAATTTCACATATACTTCTTCTTTTAACAATTATGATGTATTGTTATTAACCAGTAACCTACAAGTTAACACTACATCACATAGGTCAAAGTTCACTTAATATAATATCACATATACTTCTTATTTTAACAATTATGATGTATAGTTATTCCCCAGTAACCTACAGGTTAACACCAAATCATAGAGGTTAAAGTTCACTTAATATAATATCACATATACTTCTTATATTAACAATTATGATGTATACATGTAGTTATTCCCCAGTAACCTAGAGGTTAACACTCCATCATAGAGGTCAAAGTTCACTTAATATAATATCACATATACTTCTTATTTTAACAATTATAATGTATAGTTATTCCCCAGTAACCTAGATGTTAACACTACATCACATAGGTCAAAGTTCACTTACTATAATATCACATATACTTCTTCTAACAATTATGATGTATAGTTATTCCCCAGTAACCTAGACGTTAACACTACATCATAGAGGTCAAAGTTCACTTAATATAATATCACATATACTTCTTATTTTAACAATTATGATGTATAGTTATTCCCCAGTAACCTACATCACATAGGTCAAAAGTTCACTTACTATAACATCACTTCTAATAACAAATTAGATGTTTTAGTTTCTTATTATGATACTGAACTTACCATTGCAGACTTGTTGCCTGCCACCCGAGCATTAGCCTCCTTTACCCTCTCATTGGTTGGCTTGCACGTGTCCATGTGAGCTGCGTAAACATTCTCGGTTACCTGCTGGATTAATACTTTTCTCAGCTCGGACGGTGTCTGGGTAATGCTAGCCATCATGCGTTCAAATTCTTTGTCACTGTCTTTTTCATTGTCATTTTGTGTGGACATCTCGGGCAAGAACGATGGGTCACTGTTGGGGAATTGAGGTGAAGCATCTGGGTTTTGATTTGTGCACATGGCAACTGACATAAAATTTGCCCCATCGTTAGAAGAACTGACCATGTTCCCCCCACTACACGACAGATTGGAGGGTTCAGACTTGATACTCAAGACATTGAAATTGTCAGGGCTCTCAAGTTCCGACAACATATTCTCATCAACAAGATTGATGGTTGCCAGGTCAATGTCATTTTTGTTGTCATGCGGTAATTCTGGGTTGTTGTTGAAAGCCATGTCTCCTGGAGAGTTATTGAACTCGCCTATGGGAGAATGGCTTTTGCTGCTACCAGGGCTACTGAAGCTTGAGTACCCCGATTCCCCTCCTGCCTGGGGTCTGGCTTTGCTTTTGCTTTCCTCGCTGTCATTAGAGCTAGGGTTACGTTGGTGCTCCTTGAAGCTTGCCTGAGCTGCAGACAGGAAGGCCTGCATCAACTCAGACTTAAATGTGCCATTCTGTTGAAGCAGCGTTTGTAACTCTGCCATTTTCAGTTTGTACAAATCGGATTGAGTTGGAGGATAAGGTGCTATGGCTGGCAGATTCCCAGACCCTTGGGATTTGTTCTCTCCATTAGAGTCTTTTAAACGCTTTGGTCTCCGTCCCAATCTTGATGCTGAAAATAAAAATAAATACAAAATGCTTTCAGAATTTAATTGCACTGAATAGTGACCTTTTGAAGAATGATTAATTTTGCCTTCATACAATTTAAATATATCAAAATCGGTTAAACTCCAAATGATAAAGTTTATTTCTGACTCGGTCAGTGGTATGCTTCTTGCAGGAAGGTGAAATAGCATTTATAGCAATTCTACAAAGCTGAAATAGATTAAGGAACTGGTTTGCCAGACAATGGCTTCACTGTCACATAAATAACATATTGGACTTGATGTAGCAGTCCAGATAATCTTGAGTGCTTTAAAAATAAATTGTGACTCAGAAGCTTCAAGTCCTGATTTCAGTAAATTAGATAGATATCTCATATTGTGTATGCTACATATTTAAGTATAGGGTACTTTTCAGTTTTATTACTGAACTCGGATCAATGTATGAAAATCTTTTCTTTTGTAATCTTGTAAAGAATAATTGATGCATACACACTTATAAACATATGATCTTTCAATCCATCATATACATTACCCTGATCAATGATTAAGAGACTCATGTATTGATCAAGAATTTGTCTGGGTGTTAATTTTACTATAATCACAGTCAAGTGAATGCTAAGGGAAACAAATATATCATTATTCTACATAATTCAAAATCCAATACGGAGTCATTGAGGTGTAAAGTTTACCTCCTGTCCTTCTACCAGGTACTACTAATTAGGATAAGTGTAATGAACTACCCGAGTGGAAATTTTTCAGCTGTGACATCACAAGTTCAAGGACTGTAGCAGTCACCGTCGAAGAAATGGATATGCAACATCAGACTTACAAATGAATATTTTCTCATCTTGAAGAATCAGTTATAATGCCAAAAATAACATTATGTAGACAGTATCCAGCCATTTGAAATTTTTAAGAACTTTTTGACAGTGAATTCAATTGAAACCAAACAGGCAACTCAAGGGTACCATTAAGACTGGTAGAATTGAATATAGCTTCTAAGCACTAATGAATTTTGAATTACCAAATATTAAGAGAATTAAACAGAATAAATTGTCGATGTTGTCGATCAAAGATGATTTTTTTCTATGTCATATGAAAATCTAGTTTGCAATCATTTTATTTATCGTACAGTGAGAACAATAATTCAATAACATTCCAAATTAGTTATAAATCATTTTAGTTCCCCTACAGTCCCAAAATAGGAAAAAATGTTAGAAAACAAAGTGTTTTTTTTTTTAAAAAAAGAAATGTGTTTTGATCCTACAAGAATGTTATAATTCTCAAGCTGTTTTTTTATGGGTTAATCAAGCATCTAGTATACATTCTGATGATTAAAATAACCTGTACACATGTAAATATGTTTACTACAAAATACGTGTTGCATGAAATGTCCATATTCCTTGTCACTTGTAACTTAACCATAGCAGTTCACACATCAAGCCGTTCTGAATCAGATTTATGTGCGAGTGGTTATTAAAAGCCATACATGATCTAAAATGGGTTGCAGGTGAACAAGACGTGAAAACTGAAATTATTATGACACCCTCAGGCATTTAAAGGTACATTACTTCTCACCAGCCTAGTACTGTATACTGCCTTGCTGTAATTACTATTTTAGAAAAAGACTTTGTCGAAACTGTTTACATCAAACACATGTATGTTTTTTTATTGATTTGTCATATACACAGCCAACAAATCAAAAACATTTTATGTGTTAAAGGAATTTGATATTTCATTTCATCAAAAGGGAAATCAATAAATTTTTCAACCGAACATTTTACAAAAGCTTTTAGAGAAGGAACCCAAAGATTAAAGAAACACTATTGAAATGGCACAAAAACACTAAGGAAATAGTAAGGATATGGTATAGAAGTATGATACAAACACTACAGAAATGCTACACTTGAAATGGAACAGAAAACATGTATAGTTCATCTTAGGACCTAATACTTGTATACTTGTAAAACTATAGCAATCCAATGACAATCACCCTTTTAAAGAAAAACAGCACATCTAACAACCGAAAACAACCACTTATTTACACGAATACATTAATTGTTTCAAGCAATCATAATTTCAGTATAGACATTATTCAAGATGACTTGCGCTGTGAACTTTTGAAAAAGTTTGACGCAATTATTAGAAAAAAGTTTAGGGTCTCCTGCTCGCAGAAATACTAACAACACTGCTGTGTGCCTTACAGTGCAGGTTAGCCAATACCACAGGCCCCGTGTATACACTCATATATCCTTTTCTAATACACACAACAATAAACTGAACTCCAACCATCTCCTAACCAATAAAATTCACCTAAAAATGCACAACAGATATGTTACTTCATGAATATCAATTTCAAAATATTTTCACTTTCTTAACTTTTGCAACTTGATAAATAAAAAAATGTGTGCATCACTTTTAATGAGTAATCTGAATGCATAAGTTAAAAAAGGGGGGAGTTATTCAAAGAGTGACTAATCTAATTCAGAGAAAAAAATCTTTTGATGCAATTGACAGATTCCACAAAAAAAAAAGCAAATAAAAGATACAAAAATAAATTTTCAGAGTATAGAAGAGCGTTTTCATCGGTACATAAATTGCATGAAAACCAGAATAAAACAAATTGAGATGCATTTTTATAAACATTAGTTGATTGAAACCAAAATCAGTTGGACATCACATCTGATACTCAACAGCAGCGCCTTTCATACAGAACTTCAACCTTACGGAGATTGTATCACAAATGTTGTATCCACTGGGATACGATATCTAATTTGGATATGCTAGCATATAGGCGTACGATATATGTAATATGAGCTGAAGTGCTTCATGCATAGAAGTTTATATAGCAGTATGGGACTTGTTTTAAACAGCAGCTGCTAGTTTTTGTAAGTGATAAAGGGTAATGGTGTATTCTGGTGAGGTCAGGCCAGGGCACCAACGTAGTAATGTATACCATAATAATGCTAACTAACTAACTTCTTTAACACACTGTAATGATTTTCTATGTTAGTGTACACATTAATGTACCGTAATAATGCTAACAAACTTCCTCTTATTTTATAACATACTTTAACAATTCACATTTATCTACCGTAATAATGCTAATAAACTTCCTCTTATTTTATAACATACTTTAACAATTCTCTATGTAAGTGTCCACATTTATCTACCGTAATAATGCTAACAAACTTCCTCTTATTTAACATACTATAACAATTATCTATGTAAGTGTCCACATTTATCTACCGTAATAATGCTAACAAACTTCCTCTTATTTTATAACATACTTTAACAATTCTCTATGTAAGTGTCCACATTTATCTACCGTAATAATGCTAACAAACTTCCTCTTATTTAACATACTTAAACAATTCTCTATATTTATCTACCGTAATAATGCTAACAAACTTCCTCTTATTTAACATACTTAAACAATTCTCTATGTAAGTGTCCACATTTATCTACCGTAATAATGCTAACAAACTTCCTCTTATTTAACATACTTAACAATTAATAATGCTAACAAACTTCCTCTTATTTAACATACTTTAACAATTCTCTATGTAAGTGTCCACATTTATCTACCGTAATAATGCTAACAAACTTCCTCTTATTTAACATACTTTAACAATTCTCTATGTAAGTGTCCACATTTATCTACCGTAATAATGCTAACAAACTTCCTCTTATTTTATACTTTAACATACTTAATAACAATTCTCTTATGTAAGTGTCCACATTTATCTACCGTAATAATGCTAACAAACTTCCTCTTATTTTATAACATACTATAACAATTATCTATGTAAGTGTCCACATTTATCTACCGTAATAATGCTAACAAACTTCCTCTTATTTAACATACTTAAACGATTCTCTATGTAAGTGTCCACATTTATCTACCGTAATAATGCTAACAAACTTCCTCTTATTTAACATACTTAAACAATTCTCTATGTAAGTGTCCACATTTATCTACCGTAATAATGCTAACAAACTTCCTCTTATTTTATAACATACTTTAACAATTCTCTATGTAAGTGTCCACATTTATCTACCGTAATAATGCTAACAAACTTCCTCTTATTTAACATACTTTAACAATTCTCTATGTAAGTGTCCACATTTATCTACCGTAATAATGCTAATAAACTTCCTCTTATTTTATAACATACTTTAACAATTCTCTATGTAAGTGTCCACATTTATCTACCGTAATAATGCTAACAAACTTCCTCTTATTTAACATACTTGAACAATTCTCTATGTAAGTGTCCACATTTATCTACCGTAATAATGCTAATAAACTTCCTCTTATTTTATAACATACTTTAACAATTCTCTATGTAAGTGTCCACATTTATCTACCGTAATAATGCTAACAAACTTCCTCTTATTTAAACATACTTAACAATTCTCTAAAGTTCCACATTTATCTACCGTAATAATGCTAACAAACTTCCTCTTAAACATACTTGAACAATTCTCTTGTAAGTGTCTCACATTTATCTACCGTAATAATGCTAACAAACTTCCTCTTATTTTATAACATACTTTAACAATTCTCTATGTAAGTGTCTTCACATTTATCTTTACCGTAATAATGCTAATAAACTTCCTCTTATTTTATAACATACTTTAACAATTCTCTATGTAAGTGTACACATTTATCTACCGTAATAATGCTAATAAACTTCCTCTTATCTTATAACATACTTTAACAATTCTCTATGTAAGTGTACACATTAATGTACCGTAATAATGCTAACAAACTTCCTCTTATTTTATAACATACTTGTTCTCTAACATTTATCTACCGTAATAATGTGTCTTATTTTATAACATACTTGATTTATCTATCCGTAATAATGCTAACAAACTTCCTCTTATTTTATAACATACTTTAACAATTCTCTATGTAAGTGTACACATTTATCTACCGTAATAATGCTAACAAACTTCCTCTTATTTTATAACATACTTACTTGAACAATTCTCTATGTAAGTGTCCACATTTATCTACCGTAATAATGCTAATAAACTTCCTCTTATTTTATAACATACTTGAACAATTCTCTATGTAAGTGTCCACATTTATCTACCGTAATAATGCTAACAAACTTCCTCTTATTTTATAACATACTTTAACAATTCTCTATGTAAGTGTACACATTAATGTACCGTAATAATGCTAACAAACTTCCTCTTATTTTATAACATACTTTAACGATTCTCTATGTAAGTGTCCACATTTATCTACTGTAATAATGCTAACAAACTTCCTCTTATTTAACATACTTAAACAATTCTCTATGTTAGTGTCCACATTTATCTACCGTAATAATGCTAACTTACTCGTCCTGTAATTTGACTTATTGATACAAGAAAAAATTATGAATTCTACACTGACAAGAAATTCTTGTAGTAATTGACAAAAAATGACCAACTGCATGAAGTAAAATAACAACTTGAAACTAGAAAATATTTCACTTATTTTAATCTTCCCTCTATGGTCCAGAAAAGGTCACTGCTGAATCATGTATCTATACAGTACAAGACAATTCCTACAACTTCATCTTCTTCGTTATAAACCCACCTTTATCAAAAGTATCAAAAAGTTATTAAAGTTATAAAGTTCAGATCCTCGATAGTAAGTCTGTTTAATGATACAAACAGAACAAGACGTATTATCACAAAATGTCAATTCACCCAAAAATGTTAAGTTAGTCAATATGTATTTGGGAAATATATGGCTCAACGGATTCTATCAGCGATTTCTTTTTTAAGGACAACTTCATACATTGTCTTATTGTTTAGTATATATGTAAGCTGGTGGTTAATGGCTCAATACATATGCGAGTGCTGTCAGTCTTACGTAACCAAGTAACAGTAAGATAATACATTTGTCTGAGTCTAGTACCGGTTATAGATCAATCTGAAAAAGCAATCTCATCTTGTGTATTGTCTGTCCTAGCAAACCCATTTAAATCTGTCAATACAATACCATATCACAACAGGGTAACAAATCTTGAAGCAAAATCATTTCTGTAAAATTTCCTCTCCACTGAAGCCAACAACGGGATGAATGGGTTATCTGATCATTTCTACTGTGTTATCAAATACTGATGATCACACAGAAATGGTATTCATAAAATACAAACATCTCTAAAATTCCACCGGAACTGCTGTTATCTGGAACCTAGCTAGCTGACAAAGGAAATTAACTTTCATTTTAAACCTTGAAATTTAACATTCAACAAGAAACATGCAGAAACTCAGAATTAACAAAATATCAAAAAAAAAATTACACAAAATGATTGAAGACTCTTCTTTAAAATGTCTGCATTCTGGATCTTTATCAAGAGATATGAAGCGCTGAACTGGAGTCCACATTCCCCTCATTAATTATACTGGGCCACTAAAACTATTCATTGATAACTTCCCTGCAGAAAGAAAATAACAGTAGAATTGTATTTCAACTTGATCTTGTGGATCTAGTTAAGAGCAGGTCACCCAAAATAAAAACAAGGGTCATGTATTTATAGCATAATATATTCTAACACATGCATAGTCATTCATACACATGTGTCAAGTCTGTCATTGTGCCAACATACAGCCCCTGATACAGAACGCATGCTTGAAGGAAGGATTATACGAACATCTTTTGGCTTGGTCTACCAGGACAAACACTTGGGACATAAGTCCTCGGGAATGAGTCTTACACATATGCATGTTATTCCACTGGACTAGGTCAAACACCTGGGGGCATAAGTCAAGTTTGTCTAGGGGTAATAACTTGCCTAATGGTCAAATACCTGAGGGCATTAATCCAATAGACTTGGTCTTACATCTGAGGCAGGCATTAATCTATTTTGTCTCTCTCTAACATCTGTCTATTTTCTCCAAGTTAACATGTGTGCACCTCGACTATAAAACCTGAGGGTATTTAGTCTCTCAACACTTCGACTAAGTCTGACACCTGAGGGCATTAATTAATTTCATCTCAGTATAACACTTCAGAACATCAGTCCACTAAAACCATGTTTAACACTACCTTTATTTTTTAATTGTGACCTCAATTAGGCATAAACTCCTTAACCAAGCCCTCAGAAAATTTGCTTTAAGTCATTAAATAATTGTATTTTTTGTTTTTTTTTTTGTTTGTTTTTTTGTGGTTAAGTGGCATATTGAAAATGCGCTTGCTTTTCAATTTGGCAGTGTTTGATTTCCCTATCAGATTTAAAAGCTATGGGAGTCACTTGCCCCATCATATGGCTATTTTTAGCTGTGTACTCTGGTTTTACTTCCACAGAAAGCCTGCTTGAGCATTTCAATCAATGCACACGAACAGAGTAATTAATTGTTTTGCAATTGATATCCAATAAATAAAGATTACATTTCATAGCTGTTTGAAGTGAAATCAGTAATTTATGGAAGTTTTTACTAGATAAGATATAACAACACATTTTTTCGCATCCATAAATGCTGACAAAATTTGATTTTTTTTTACAAGATACAGGAATATATCAACTGGAAAAAAATTAATCAATCACTGCAGTGATGATATAAGAAATCTTATATATTTTCACTTGTGATATAATTTTTTCAGTGATATTTTTAATACACTGTATTTTTAAGTATTTTGTCAATGTGTTTAATTAAGTGAAATGAAGCGAAGGTTGAGTAAGTTGGTCTCCCATCATATTCTTGTATATTTTTAATTCTCCCTGATTAGTTAATTTCTGATGGGATATTTTTTTGTTATCTATTTTTCTTTTAAAAATTGTGATAAAAAAAGAAAATTTAACGGTTTCCCATTTAATATATGTATATATTTCACTCATATGACAGAATATCTCTATATTTTTCACTTGGGGAAAAAGGTACTCTTTCATATTCATGAAATATATACAATAAATGGGAGACCATTTAATATCCTCTAGACTCTCATTTTTGGACAATACCTACCTTCTCTGGACATGCCCACTGAGAAACATTTTTTGAGACGACAGTACTGACAGCTGTTTCGCGTGAAAGGTGTTATCTCGCACTTCTCGTCATTTGAGCACTTATGTGTCATCCCTTGGGTAATACAGCGACGAAAAAAACCCTGCAAGTTTCAATAAACAAATATTGGTTAGATTTAAGTGTAACATCCATTGTCAAAGATGTTCCACTGACATATTTCCTCGCAATTCCAACCGTTCCGTTCAAAAAATCACGACATCAGAAAGAAACCAAAACCAAATTGTTTTTGAACTGATCTTAAATGAAATTTCAGTCTCAACTAGGCTAGAACTTCATACCTTATCTATTTAATATCTCATTTCTTTGTGAAATTTAAGACATTTTTATTTTATTGTCACTGCATTGTAAGAGTCAGCATTTTATTTGAAAAACAGGACCCTATAAAATGCAATGATATAAAATATGTCTGAATATGTTCCTGAACAGGGCTGCATATGCTTCTCCAACAATTTACATCAACAAAAAAAATCCAACATATGAAGATGGAATACTTAGAAAAGGAAGGAAGAAACAAGTAAGCAAAGGGAATCAGATGTTCACCTGATCATATCCTGCAACTGGTGCTGCCATTGTTGGAATACACCAGCCACATATAGTTTTTTGCTGTATTTGGCAGTGATGGAAAACAGCTGTATTTAAGCATGTGCTTTAATCTGGACAGAATTACTTTCTGAAATTACTTTAAAAAAAATCGTTTAAAAATAACTTGAAATAAGTGATTTTATTTGTTGTAATAAACAACGTTATTTAAGAAAACTCATAAAATCGATGCCATATCTGTTGAAGTTTGGAGCTCTATTTCTCCACTGAACAATGATTTTTTTGGCGTACGTCATCAGTTAAGATTTGGCTTAACATCAATGCAGATGAACAGAGATTGAAAAACAAAACTGTTCAAGTTTGCATAGTCTGATTTTCAAGCAATGTTGCAGGACAAATATAAGCTGCAATTTTGCTTGGGACAGATAGACAGAGGCTCAGCACTTTTGTCTCTCGTCACCCTCACAAAAATACTGACAGTGACCTTGTATTCTCTATATATCAGAAATATTTACTGGCGTCATGGTTACCTGACCTTCACATTGGCTCTTGCCTTCAAATCTCAATTGAGGGCGATAAACACATTATGATTTATGTTTACAGTTGACAAATGACATTTATGTGTCATTTATAAAATTTTATAAAAACAAAACAAAAAATGTTTGCTATATGTTATGTGTACTATAAATTTAATGTCTGACAGATTTTGAAATGACCTTCATAATATTTCATCCAGAAAAAAATTGAGCATGTCATCAGAAATAACTAATGAGTGCATAAAACTTAAAATTTAACTGAGCAGCAAGTAATTTCTCATTATATCAAACAGTATCACTTTGACCACTAACTAGGAATAATTATCATAAAGTCATCCATATTGATCAGAGAAATATATGTCCAGAGTATCTTAAGACAGAGAAATAATGTCTAGAGTATCTTAAGACAGAGAAATATATGTCCAGAGTATCTTAAGACAGAGAAATATATGTCCAGAGTATCTTAAGACAGAGAAATATATGTCCAGAGTATCTTAAGACAGAGAAATATATGTCTAGAGTATCTTAAGACAGAGAAATATATGTAAAATAACTGTTGTCAAATAAAACGTTTACATTGATGTCACTGATGGCACAGAAAACATTTACACTGATGTCACTGATGGCACATAAAACATTTACATTGATGTCACTGATGGCACATAAAACATTTACATTGATGTCACTGATGACACATAAAACATTTACATTGATGTCACTGATGGCACATAAAACATTTACACTGATGTCACTGATGGCACATAAAACATTTACACTGGTGTCATTGTTGCTATATAAACATTTAGCATAATCTAACTGTTGTCACCTAAAACATTTAAACTGATATAACTGTTGTCACACAGAAACAGTTAAACTTATGCCACATAGTAACATAAACAAGAGGCCTAGCAGCCTTGATGGTTATCTGAAGAAATAATGAACGTAAAGCATTGATTCTACAAAGGGTGCAGAGACAAAGATTTTTGAAATAGGCATCAATTTGACCATTTTTTGCCCTGCCCATCAACACCTGGGCATATACCAGTAATTCTTACTAAGTTTGAAATATTTCAAATGGAAATTCAACAAATTATGCTCAAATATGTACTTTTCCTATAAAAACAGTAAGCTTTACCCTGGCTCAAGGGGAAATAAAAAACCCTGAGGCTATGAAATTCACAATTTTTGGTGTTTCCATCCTAGAGGAACATTTGATTCTTCCATATTTTGGTGTTGAGAAGAAGATTTTTGAAATTTGAGTCAATTTGAGCCTTTCTGCACATACCCTCAGGCATTTGTGGGGTTGGAACTGTATGAATCTCCATTTAAGTTAATCTTCGACCAGGGAGGGTTTCCGTAAAATTTCATTGAAATCAATTTCCCTATTGTTAATTTTCCATTTTTGATGGTTACATTCCCCAACCTATGGAGTTGACATGTCAGAATTTGGATTCAGTATTACATAAAACAGAAGACGCTTTTTCTTCAGGAACACCTAGTCTTATTCCCCTTGTAAATCTATTTTTTGTTCATATTTTGCCCTTGTATTGCTGAAATTAACTTTAAGTGCTGGTTTGTTATATTTTGTGTGTACTGAGTTACTTACCTTACATCCCTCACACGAGTCGACGCCATAGTGATATCCAGATGACTCGTCACCACAAACCTTACAGGTGGGCGCTCGTACACCACATTTGGTAGTCATCGCTTGCCTCACACCTGAAGGCTGACGTTGTCTGTTAAAACACAAACCAAGATGAGTTAGATTTAACAACTGTGTGTTTTATATATCTTAGCATTTATATTTCATACTGAACTCTATACATAGGTGATACAAATTTTAACAAAGTTTCAATTAGCAAAAATCTCATTGCAAATCAACTTGTCTTGCGTTAGAAAACTGATCATATTAAGCAAGAAAAATCAACAATACTGCATGCCGGAGAAATATCAGTCAAATATGCATGCATCAGAATAATTTATTTAAAAGGAAATTTTCTTGTCATTCTATCATTACACAACGTCATACAAGAACTAAGAATCTAGAGAATATAAGTCGAAATATACTCACTCTTCCACAGTTTGCATTGAGGTCTAATCTACAGTATCATCCTTCATATAGACAGATATCAGTGACAGTTTGTAGTGTTAAACAACCATTCTCATCTACGTCATCTTCATAGTTACCTGCAAATACAAAATGGTATTAAAAACATAGCAATTCCTTCCAATATCTGAAAAGAAACCCAGGACTGAAAGACATGTTTGTATATTACATACATCACAATTCTATCCAAATATATGTTACATGAGGAATTAAGGTGATTGACAGTGAAGTATTCTTGGAACGAAAGTGTATCACCAAAACTGTACTGTATGATATGTATATACCTTCATCAATGTTGAAATGATGAATTTCAATTCTTACAGTAAGTATGCATTTACAAGAAATCAAAAACCTTTCAGTTCTAAATTGATTCAAACAACCTTTTCAACAAAACAGTTTAAAACAACTTTGACAGGAGCTTGTTCCATATCATATGTAGAATTTCATGACCAGCCAACAGAGGTAAGAAACCATTTGAAATTTTTTTTCATATTTTGAGTTTGGTGTTTTTATCACAGAACATGATTGGCAGCTTGTTTCTCTTTTTTCAATAGAGTCATCACTTCTAAATGAAGATGATTCTGTACTAATTTTCATATCTTGTTTTTGTTTATACAAAACAAGAACATGTATGTTTGATATGAATATGCACATCACTTATTTACAACAAAGGCTGATCACTGTTCTGTTTAATTTTAAATTATTTTATATTACCACACATCATGCAGCTTATCTGATATTCAAGAAATCCACAAATCACACTTTAACAAAATCAATAAATTCTCAAAGCCAGGTCTTCAGAATCATCCAGAAATCTATGAAAGGCCTCAGTCCTATATATATACTTTTTATTGGTATTGTCAAGGAGGCGCTATACTATGTTCAACTAATGAACTTTATAATCGCTCTTAAAAAACATTAAGTGAAAAAACTTTTGCAACTCAATCATTTTCAAACATGTACATTGCAACAGAGAAAAATATATTTTTTAAGTGGTTTTTAGGCGAGGGGAGACATCGGAGACAGCGGGGAGGCATTAAGGAAAAGGCTAAAAATGTTCAAATGCATACTGCATATAATTCCAGCTCATAACTTCAGACTCAAAATTTTAAATTCATTATCATATAAAATCACCGACAAAACCACTACTTGTGTAATATCTGAAGAGATTCTTTCATCAGTTCATTACTTTATCAAAAACTTACAAACATTTACAATCACTCTGTAACCATTATATAACTATAACGTAATTAATAAAGCCCTGATGTTAATGATGAGAGAATACCTCAGCTCTAGGTATCTAAATCATTGGCCTTTTTGCATTATTGGCACTTGTTACACCCGATTATCCGTTCTACACTTCGACTGCCTTTCTGCACTTTTTATGTACCATACAGCCATATTAAACTGTCTACTCACTTAAGGTTTTTTTTTGCCGCTAACATTACATCATCAGTAGCAGTAACAGCCAAATTCATAGACAATTCCCAGCCAGGGATGACTTTTATAGGCTGTTATGTTGGTATCAAATGTTAAATGATACTAAAACTTAACATCAAGCTATGGTATGCTACAATGAGCTTGATTACTATGCAGATGTCGTAACTACTGGTATTTCATGTCTATATTACGATCTTCCATACAAATATCATTCTTACACTGCCATACTGTATTAATAAAAGAACAGTAACTACTTATTGTCATTACCATGTGATTAAGACAATTGTAATTATGTCCACGCTGAGCCGTAATTTAAACCTGAACTGTGTAAATATTTATACTGTTGTTCTGATGACAGCTAGCCTAGCTAGCCGAAACATATATAATAATAAAACCACGGAATCCAGATGTTGATGCTCCATCTTCTATGTCAGTTGTATTGATAAAAGAAATATTTCTCAAAGGACTTTATTTTCCAAATTATATTGTTTTATTTATCATGAGCAAATATTTCAGAGAAGTTCCCACCATAGTAATGCATCATGTTGCTAATAAAAAAGAAGCTTTTTAAAGAATTTGTCTTCTATCTTGATCAAAGGTTTTGTTGGATCATTGATTAAATAATAACATATTGTTTGGTGTACATACAGTTGTTATGTATTAGGTTGCAGTTTAAGCATTAAGCAGTCCATAAATCTGATAGTTTTTTAACACTAATGAACTATTGACAGTACCATAGCAGACTGTAATTTGTTACTGTATAATGCAGTAGTAACAACATGGAATTTTGCCAGGAAATCTAGAACTCATCAATAAGGTCACTGACAGGCCAGGTTTCTCAATAATGGTCAAACAAAGGGCAATTAACAGAGCTAGATATTAGTGTTTGCCTGTCTATAAATGATCCTGTACAGAAAACATCTAAACTAACATAACAGTAAGTGGACTCAATTTTATAGACAATATTCTCAGCTGGTCTGTGTACTACCATTTTTTTTTTCTTAATTTTAATCATTTTTTGATCCAAAGTCTGGAAACTTTTTGTGTGCCCCATGCAGTTGGATATATTCACAAGATTTTACAGATATCAGAAACACTTGTTTTTTCTATTTGTTCACTTGGAACTTTTTATATACTGCCGTTTTCAAGACAAGACTTTCTTCTTCCAAAAATTATTATCTGCAGCTGAACCAATGTTTTATGAAGATTGTAATCGTTTCAATTTGGCCTTTTCACCTTTCATTGTCTTAATGATATTGGTGGGTTTAGGTTGTCCATCTCCATGACTACTGCAGGTCACTGATGACTGAACGTCACTGTTCTAGGGATCATTTCGTATTATGGGTAGCATTATAGTTAAGTTGAAGGCGAATTACCTTTATACCTTATTTTCCATACACAACAATTCATAGATGTGGGCACTGAATTTCAAATTCAAAATGAAGTTTAACATTACAGGTCATTCTAGGGTCAAAGATTCTAATAACATGAAAAAAATTCAAGTTTAACACGAAATAAAAAGTAAACATGTCAATACATTCTAGAGCTGCATATTCCGTGAAGTTCTGCCATGACAATTTACAGAGAAGTATCGGCTGTATTAAGATCGAATTTAAGAAAAACGTGATATTGTATATTTCATCGGTTTTCACACTTCTTTCAATTATCATTTATCAATTTCTATGAAAACAGTTTCAGCATGTTGTGTCATTTTCATGCTTTTTCCTAAAGTTTCCAATAACAAATTACATTCAGAAGCAATGAAACAAGTGAAAATTAAATTCTTTAAAAATAAAAATTGTTTTATAAAAATTTTACCAATCCTCAAAATGCATAAGTTATGTATGATACGTAAGTATCCTTTGTTGTAAACCTGAGATGTTTTGGCCTGTCCTCCAGTAGATTTGAGACATCACACAGCCTAATGTGTATCAGATTACAGTTATAAATTCTCTGCCAACACTTTGCATTATTGAGATAATATGGTTGATATTTACCTTCTCTTTACAAGTTCACAGATAAACCAACATGGCTCAAGGTCAACTGACAAACACACATGGCTCAAGGTCAATTGACAAACAACATGGCTCAAGGTCTGGACAGACATACATGTACAAGGAAGTTAATTAAACTTCAACAAGAACGTGACAAAGTTTTAGTACTAAGTGTAAATTCATATAACACTAAAACACACTACTGACTTTCAGTAACACTAAATATAAAGCTTTCACCAGCCTAAATGTGTCGAGTCAAGTCAGTTACTATATAAAAACAGTTAAACAGACCGTGACCAAGTTAGCTATGTATCCTTTCAGTTGTGATCATGACCTGATAGGACTGTGACACAGCATATATCAAATGACACCCAGTTTTTATGATATCTACAAGGACTTTCTGAAATACACAGAGGTATATACCTTGTAATGGTTTCTTATCTTTAACTCATTTCATATCAATATCATGTTTTTACATATCAATATTGTGTTTAACCCCTATAAAAAATGTTTATTTTTTGGGAATATTTTAATTATTCTACATAATTTTTTCCTGATTTGTCTTCTTCCAATGTTGAAATTAGTTTGTGGTAAATATATGTATATGAACAACAATTATGTTTGTTGAAAGTAAAATATGATTATAATTTTTTTATATCACTTTTAATAATACTAGATGTATATATTTATATAGGGTGTCAGGAATTAGTGTGCTAAATTAATTTAAAGGAAATGTGCTTTCTACATGTAGATCACATTGAAGAGATTTAAAACTTCACACAGGCCACTGTTGGCAATGATTATATAACACAAAAACCCACTAACATTAGATTGACCCCAACTGGTTCGGTGAACTATTGAATTATATCATACTCTGTGACAACCAAGCAGTAATGCTAATCCCTGGTCATGTCCAAGGCTCATATACCTGGTAGATATTGACAGTAAACAAATGGTAAATAAGACGGATACCACATCATCGATATAAATAATACTTAATTTCTATTTCATCACTGTAAATCAAATTAATGTAATAAATAGCAGTTGCCTACTACAATGTAATTATATTCATATCCCAGGTTTCATAAAAACAACAAATTTTATTTAAACAATTAACACAAAATATTAAAATAAAATTAAAACCAGCCAAGATATGTTGAAGTTGGATTTAACATACTTTTCGGCAATATATTAACTTTTTGAAAATATAAAACTGAAAGATAAATTAAGGATGCCGTCAGTGCTTAGAAAGCATTTCACAGAAATGACAATTTTTCACTACAAGAGAGACAAAATTTACATGCTATATTTTGCATGGTAAATTATATCTGTATTAACACTGGTAGTGTGTGCCTGTCTCTGGGTTGGCTCAATTAGCTTTATACAAAAACCTTGTTTAACTATTTGGTTACCTGTAGGAAGATTGTGATTGAGTCAATCAAATTATGTCCAGCTGTAAGAACAAGTGTGATTTTACCTGGTATATTTGTTGATATCAAATTTCAATGAATTTAGCAATTTTACTCTGAATTTCCCTATCTTAATCAACATGCAAAATCGTATCAGTCAAACCGGGATTCATCAAAACACATTTTTATACACATAAACTACATGTTTTATCACTGTGCACTTTAACGTTTTGATGT